AATATATTTAATAATAAGAATAATAAATTTAATCACTGTTTTTTTAGTTTCGCTAAACTTTGTGAGTTTGTTTCTCTTACTTATCGATTTTTTCGTTAAGTAAATAATAATAATAATAAAAAGTAAATATAACAAAACGCGAGTAAACCGGGTTCGATCCCCGCCGGCACCAATGAAATTGTTAATTGCAATTTTAAGTGCTGATTTACCACGTGCTCGGCGGTGAAGGAAAACATCGTGAGGAAACCTGCATGTCTGAGGAATAAGAAAAAAAAATATTTCGAAGACATGTGAAGTTCGTCAACACGCATTTGGGCAGCGCGGTGGACACTTCCTTGCTCTAAAACCCTCTCAGAAATGAGGGGGAGGCCTGAGCCCAGCAGTGGGACGTATATAGGCTGTAACTTTACTTTACTTTACTTTACTTATCGATTTTTTTCGTTCGGACTGAAAACCAACGTTAAAGTTTCCGCAACTGAATGAAAGTGTGGTCAGTATGCTCAACGTGACAGGACACACGTGATAGGACTGTAAAATATAAATTGTAAATGTACTTTTATATTTAATATCTGGCCAAATTTCTTTCAAAATGTGTTACACAATTAACAACACAAAACAAATTAGAAATAGCTTGATATTGTTCACCTCAATCCCTAGGAATGATTATTATAATCCATAAATTCATTAATATTATAATAACGCTTTTAATAAAAAAGAATTATATAGCTTTTGAACTTTTGGAACTTTTTTATTTAATCTAGGCGTATGCCGTGCGTTTCTTTCTTTCCTTCATTAAATATAACATTCTTCTGAACGTATTTTTGCCGCTAAATGCCGCATATTCAAGGATAGATTTTGAGATGGGTAAAATTTTTGAATACACGCAGTTTGTTAGCAAAAGACAGTTAAACATAGATTTCATATATTACTCGCAACATAATGGTGATTACAGATTTGCCCGATTTTCGTCCATCGTTTTCGACTTTCGACGGGCTGTTTCCACGATCAAAAATATCTGTCAGTTACCTATAAACTTCGGCTGTGTCAATCAAGTAAACCGTAATCCGTAATACATACGTCAACTTGTCAAAACAGTACATACGTAGAATTGCCATTTCACGAAAAACTATAGTAACAAGGTGTATTACGCAACCCTGAATTAAGAAACCTTATTAGTATTCGAAAAAAAAGAAAGTGTTACAAGACTACACTTTCATTTTTTACGAATAACTCGCTGTGACAGTGATGACATATGGAACTGAGACGTGGTCCTTCACTGTTGGCCGTATAAGGACGCTCAAGGTCGCTCAGCGAGCTATGGAGAGAGAGGGCTATGCTCGGGGTTTCTCTGCGTGATAAACTTAGAAATGAGAATATCCGCAGTAGAACTAGAGTGCCCGATATAGCCCAACGGATTAGTAAGCTGAAGTGGCCGAGCGGGCCATATAGCTCGAAGAACCGACAACCGACGGGGTAAAAAGGTTCTCGAGCGGCAGCCTCGTACCGGTAGGCAAAGTGTAGGGCGACACCCCACTAGATGGCGTGACGACCTGGTAAGACATACAGGAAGTCGATGGATGCAGGTGGCTCAGGACTGTGCTTCGTGGCATTCCTTGGGGGAGGCCTGTGCTCAGCCGTGGACATGTGGTGATGATGAACTCGCTTATCTTTATTGCTATATAATTGAATTATTCTATTAGCATTCATAAAATTACCCATGTAGTGGCGATGTAAGAATATCCACTAGCCCATATCGTGCAGTGAGGGTCGTAAGAGACGACAGAGGAATTTGATCCTGGAGATGGGCGGAAGTGTCTTCCTAATTACAACTACAAAATAAAAACAACTGCGGCTGCCAACCCCGCCTCCCAAGCGTGGCAACTCAGGCAAATATCCCACCACTGAGGTAACCCATGGGGAGGCCTACGTTCAACAGTAGATTTGATAGGTTCTAATGTTGAATGAAACTGCATTAAGCGTAATAACAAAATCAACTTTTCAAACCTTTGTTTTGCCCATTGCCCATTACTGCTGAGAAATATGCACCTTTAGGTTATATTTAATAGACGACATTACGTACTATTAAATGACATACATTTAATGTTTGTACATTTAGGGTGCAGTTAAGGTCATATTGAAATTGAACAAAGTTCATCTTTAACTGCGTTAATAGAATACGTATCGCAAATAAGCAAGCACGAGAAAATGATGCTATTCGTTGAGTCATTTTATGAAGCTGAAATAAAGACTTGCGTCACCTCCTATCATAGACTGTAGGTATGACCTCAGAAGGACTCCGTAAGCGTGAACCGAGTCACGATTGAAATCCTTAATGCATATCATATACATATTAAATTGTAGCTTTGCATTCCTTACACGATTGTTCACAATAAAAATATTGTTTATAAGAGGAACTAATTATTATGGATGACATAGAGCGTATTTTGCCCAGTATATAATTGTTGTTTTCCTTTTGCTGCTACGATATAAAATATGTACCTATGTAACACTAGCGTATGCTTGCGTTTGTATGAACTTTGTATTTATTTTACTTAGGAGTTAATGCTTAAGCTCTTTAATGACAATAACAATCAATGTCATTGCAAACAACAAGATACTTTATTTTCTTTTTCTTTTTTATAGGAAAAGGGTGACAAACGAGTACCTTGCGAGAATATCTTGACATAAAGCACCCCAACCAACATTTTTTTTTTCCCCACACAATATAACCCTTAGAATATCTTGCGAGAAGAAGTGACAAAAACTAATAACCAGTCTAATATAGGCTACCCACTTGTGTTCTTCCAACGGTTTTCACGGTTCAATTGCACTCTATGATATATTCATGAAAGAACGACAAATAATGCTCGTTTTATTCACGGTCTTGTGTGTGTATGTGTGCTGTGGTAACTGTGTACACATTTCCTCGATTAATCATCCTTTAGGACGAAGATTTCCTCGTTACCAGTAATAAGGCTATCCGGTTCTCTACACTCACCATACGAAACACGGAGGCAGTAAGCTGTTAGCTTACGCCGCCTGTAAGAGCGTGGTCCTTCCGGAATCGACCCAAGCTATTCGTGCTGCAACAATAATACAGCTGCATCGTGGAGGTTGAAGTTCAAGTGGACTCTTAGTTCGTTTATCACTACCATTTTATTTTTGAAAAAAAAAATTTACTTTATCAACAAGTGTAATCAAAATAGAACGTTAGCAGTCAATGGCCTTTTGAAGTGTTTAAATTTAATTTTTATTGTATCCCGCTGCCTCCCACGTAGCACAAGATTACGACTCCACTTAACGACCGGATAATACGAAATTAATGGGGCAAGCGCAAAACAATCAAGTTTTATAATCGCAGGAGTTACGGCTGCAATCGTTGCTCATATTAAGATTCTTACGCTGGTATTTAGAAATGATCCTGAGCTTAGACTTAAACTCCACGATGTTAAAATTTGAGCCTTGACCATGCTATCAGATTGAAATACGGAAGCTTGGAACTAGCGTCTATCAACAGACAAACACACACTCACACATACACACGCGCGCGCGCACGCACGCACGCACAAGCTCGGGGTTCACCGTGAGGTTTATCAAAGCGATGCCGCCATTGGTGGTACCAAACATCGCGGTGATTTTTTATGTGAGTAATATTAGGTAAACTACGAGCTTGTGTGCGAATGTTGTTTCCTGAATACTGCTAGCCGAGTTGCGGCTCTTGCATTTACATTCACCCGGCGTCAATATTACAGCAAAAAAAAGTGTTAATATTCGATTTTGGATGTATTATAAATTCATGACTATTCTCGTGAATGACAATACATCCGACACTATCTACGATTCTTGCTCTATTTCACATCAGCACTGAAGCTTATTATGACGTAATAGTTTATGTTTTCCTAATTCATAAGTTCACCGCCCTATCTAAGGCTCCTGCTCGAGAACCTTTCTTCCCCAGCGGCCGGCCACTTCAGCTCAGTGATGAATGTGCTATGTTGGTTACTCAGATTATACTGCGGATATCTTCTTTAACAAGTCTATGCAGTACAGCAGCACGCACTGTTTGTACACTCTTCTAGTCACGTTTTTAGGTATACATGACCAGAAGCTGTGTCGTAATATACCGAACGCTCTCGAGCTAAGTTGGATCCGTTTACGCGAACACTTAAAGTAAGCTAAAATGCAACAATATATATAAGTTATTTCAAGAAAATATTTCTTAATCTCATTTTCTTTCTGTATTAAAGAATTCTCTAAGTTCGCAAAGAAAACCTCCGTCATTGTTTTTACAAGTAAATAAAAAGTAAAGCGTGGAAAAGTCCGTCGCGGCTCTCAACTTATGTATGTGAGCGAATATCACTCTTCTTCAAAATATTACATCAGTTTTAGGCAAGATTCCTCACAGTGTATTTCTTTACCAAAGAGTGAGTCAGTACTTAAAAGTCTAATTAACAATACCATAAGGGTACAGTCATGAAATATAACGTCAATTATCAGAACTACAACATCTTTTCAATTGAAAAACGTGTAATTCGCTAATCCAAACTTCATAATTCACTGTAAGTTATCTCGCTACTATTTTTGACATTGCCAATTCTTCCAATAAACATGGTTATTTAGGAGATTCTAATTAGAATTAGAACTAACTAGTTCAATAGAAAGCTCGCAACCTGGCAATGATTCGACTAATCGTGAACTCAAACATTACCATCTACCACAAGGGTTTAAGAATTAGAATAAGGAAAGGTAATCAAAAATATAGTAATAAATATATTCATAATACGGAATATCTCCGATCGTCATTTATTTATTCGTTCATTCAGTCTTCGGTTAATTAAATGCTAAACGGATTGCCTCATAGCCTACCAAAAGTGGCAATTAAGACAAATGTCCCGGATTAGCTATAGTTTCCTCATTTTGTCATAATTTATAGTTTAAAACAAAAAATAGCCAATATTCTCGCCTTAAACTTTCACTCATTACTATTTTTTCTATTTCAGGTAGTGTTGGTGTTCATTCTGAGTATAGCATCGCTGATCATCTACTTCATTGACGCGTCCAGGTAATTATACTACTATTTAATCCTAGATACTCACTGTCACGCATTTGCAGCGGAATCAGCAATTAAGAATAAGCCCTTTACACAATGTGCCAATGGGCAGGCTATAAGCTTAAAAAAGAAAACACCAAATGTTCGTAAAATGCAGTTCTTTAATTCAATAGTAAATAAATTTCTTATCTTAAATACAAACACTATTACTTATTTAGTTTAGACGAAAGAAAACAATAGAAAAACAACGATAGCCAAAAGGCATATTATGGGAAAATGTTTAAAAAAAAACAACAATAAGGTTTTCGTAAGGTGTGTAATTACATTGTAAAATTACAGTGTTACTAGAATACAACAAAATATTAAACACAGTTCTAGAATTTTGAAAGATTCATTATAACTTATTTTCTTTAAGAAATGTATGCCTACTGACACAGTCCTAAACATACCTATGCCCTATAGAGGATTCAAAAACTGACGATAAAAACGATAAAACATATACAATACATACATTACATACACACACAAGTTAATCTTCAAATAGTTTTAAAGTTATAAATGAGAATTACAGTGACACAAGGATCACTGATGCGATCAAGAAACATAGTAACTCCCTGACGAGAGGTTCAGTGGGTGCACTGTATAAATACATAAGTAGTAATTATCGCTGCTCTGATGTGACAGTATGTATTTAGATGTATAAATTGTTTGTTAATGATTTTGAAATTAAGCCCTGTTATTAATTATGACCGTCTTGTGATAATGCTGAAAAAGGAATACGTGAGTTGAAAGTTAATATAAATGTGATCCGACACATTTGCTGGGATAGTAATTCTGTGTTAGCTTGTGTTTTCTTTATCAGCTGTACTGTTATTTAGTCGTTGGCTTCGGTATATGTTTAATTGATATATGTACCTTTTGTTTTCGTTATGACAGAGTTGAATACCTGATAAGACCAAACATTAGACCGTGTTGTGTCTTTCAAATTTAAATTGGCCATGAATAACTTTTGGAAATTTAAAATTGGAATGAAGACTTCGTCTCAAGTACTCACGATTATGTTTATTTACAATATTTGTTAAAATTTGTTTGGGATGATCAACAATTTTAAAATGTAAATCAAAACAGTACAATGTGCATGCATGCATGTTATATATGCTGTTGATTGGTGATTTTTTTTTAATTTTTGAGACAAAAAAAAAGATGTTTGATTCTGCCACTACGACTTAATGTTTCGTAATACTGTTATAATTATTGTCACCCGCACGCTTCGACGATATTATGTTAGTCGTTTCTATTTCCAGTGAGGAGGTGGAGCGGTGCCAGAAATGGAGTGACAATATTACTCAGCAGATCGACCTTGCCTTTAACATATTTTTTATGGTCTACTTTTTTATACGAGTAAGTGATCAAAAAATTTAGGTTAACGAAAATTATAGTTCCAAATGGAAGTACAGATATTTCATTAAAATATCATCTGATACTAAAAAGTTATTAAAATAATAATCACATTGTTACAACTAGATTGTTACTAGATTGCCTAAGCCAATAAAGGAGCAATTAGAAAAAAAACTTTCAGAAAATATACCACAGCAAAAGTGACAATTTTATTGCATTATAGTTACAAGTGAGCTGGTGGTGAACTGTTTACCTGGTGGTAAGTGGCTGCTAAAGCCCGTAGTTAACGCGGTCAAAGTAACGTAGATTATTTTATTTAAATGTTAAAATGGTCGTTGCATTGTGTGACGGCGATAACGTTGATTCGTTTTGTGTTCAAAGCGATGCCGACCTGACATTCTTGGTCCTCGGAAATAAAAAGGCTATTCTGTTTATTAATCATCATATCTGAATATATAAACCATGGGAACAAATTCTATCAGACGAAATGTGTACGCCATTTCTCGAAATAAATCTTATCCATTGTGTTAAAATCATAAATTAACAATGATTTACTATTCCAATTGTCACGTAATAACGATTTCTAATTCAACGAATACTTAGATAATTTTTTCGTTAAACTAAATGTGGTAAGCTGTTTATATACTCGTAAAATTTGAATCTCAAAATTAAATTATGTACTCCTACTCATTTATGTTACGATGTATGTAAATAATCATTTGTCTGTTTCAGTTTATAGCAGCTAGTGACAAACTATGGTTCATGCTCGAGATGTATTCATTTGTAGATTATTTCACAATACCCCCCTCCTTTGTATCGATATACCTGGATAGAACGTGGATAGGTAAGTTACTTTCAAATATACTGGTAGTATTAGAATCATAATCTTAATTTATTATTTTTATAATTTTCTATTAGCGGCAATGATTGCAGAAAGTCGATTTAGCTAAGCCCGTAGCACAAGCAGCACTACGCTACGAGGCAAAATCACTTCGTTCAAAGAGTGCCGTCACGATGCTATCGAGATATCTTCTGTGCGCGGGATAAATAATTTTTTATCTGTATATTATAGTTAGCGAGAAAATTATAGTGTTGGTAATTTTCACTAGGTTGCTACATATCTATTTATCTATGATTTTCACTCGACTTCGAAAATATATATGTTATTTTACTTGTATTTGTTATATATATATATCATCATCATCATTACAGCCCTTCACAAGTCCACTGCTGAACATAGGCCTCCTCCAAGTAATGCCACAAAGCACGGTCCTGAGCCACCTGCATCCATCGACTTCTTGCATATCTTACCAGGTCGTCACTCCATCTAGTGGGGGGTCGCCCTACACTACATTTACCGGTACGAGGCTGCCACTCGAGAACCTTTCTTCCCCGTCGGTTATCGGTTCTTCGAGCTATATGGCGGCCCATTGCCACTTCAGCTTACTAATCCGTTGGGCTATGTCGGTCACTCTGGTTTTACTGCGGATATCCTCTCTTTCTCTTTCTGAGTCTATCACGCAGAGAAACTCCGAGCATAGCCCTCTCCATAGCTCGCTGAGTAACCTTGAGCGTCCTCATACGGCCAGCAGTGAAGGACCACGTCTCAGATCCGTAAGTCATCACTGGCAACACGCACTGGTTGTACAATCTAGTTTTTAGAGATTGAGGTATACCTGACCAGAAGATATGTCGTAATTTCCCGAACGCTGCCCAGCCGAGTTGAATCCGTCGATAGACCTCTCGGTCGAAGTTGGACTTACCTAGTCGGACTATTTGTCCCAGGTAAACATACTCGTCAACAACTTCGAGCATAGTGCTCCCAGCAACTACCGGCATAGGTGTGACATGGACATTAAACATAATCTTTGTTTTGTCCATGTTCATCTTAAGACGTATCCGTTGGGAGGCACTATTGAGGTCATTGAGCATAGTGCTTAAGTCCTCCAGCGATTCTGCCATAAGGACTATATCGTCGGCAAATCGAAGGTGAGTGATGTACTCGCCATTGATGTTCATACCGTATCCTTTCCAGTCCAGTAGCTTGAAAACGTCTTCCAATGCAGCGGTGAAGAGTTTCGGGGATATATCGTCAACCTGTCTTACACCTCTCTGCAGTTGGATAGGTTTCGAGCTTCTGTACTCGGATAGCCATCGTAGCCCTACTTCAGCACACACACACAACAAACACTTCAGCGCTTCGATATACCGACAATCAACTTGGCACCGCTGAAGGGACTGTAGCACCGCCCAAATTTCGACGGAATCAAAGGCTTTCTCATAGTCCACATACGCCAGGCAAAGTGGCAGATTGTACTCTTCAGTCTTCTGTACAATCTGCCGCAAGGTATGTATGTGGTCTATGGTACTGAAGCCTTTTCGGAAACCGGCTTGTTCGGGAAGCTGGAAGTCGTCGAGTCTGCGTGCGAGACGATTCGTAATGACTCTCGAAAACAGCACGTAGACGCGGCTCAGAAGGGAAATCGGTCTGTAGTTCTTCAAGAGAGCGTTGTCGCCTTTCTTAAAGAACAAGACCACCGCACTTCTGCTCCACGCCTCTGGAGTAGTGCCACCATGGAGGACGGAATTGAAGAGCTTCTGAAGGACTTCAAGCACCGGTGCTCCACCCGCTTTCAGAAACTCCGCTGTAATTCCATCCTCGCCTGGGGCCCTGCCGTTTTTAAGGTGCTGGAGAACCATTCTAATCTCGCTTAGACTGACGTCCGAGATATCATCGAAATAGTGTCGGATAAGACTTGCTCTTGGATCGTTACTCACACTTGTGTGTGGCCCCAACGATAATGTGTACAGCTGCCCATAGAACCTCTCAATCTCACTCAAAATCTCAGGTGTCCCAGAAACGATGCTGCCACACTCAGTCTTCAGCTTTGACAGTTGGCTCTTACTGGCAGACAGATCTCTGGCAAAGACTTTGGAGCCCTGGTTCCGCTCGATCGCTTCTTTAATACGAGCAGTATTAAAGTTGCGTAAGTCTCGCCGCATGCATTTGGAGATCTGTCTGTTCAGTTGCCTGTATACTGTCAAACCTGTTGACGATTCCAGCCTCATCTCCCGTCTAACAGCCATGAGATTAAGAGTGTGATCGAAGAGTTTTTGTGTTCTTCTGCGGCGGGTCTTGCAGAACTTAGTTCCGACCGCATGGACAGTTTCCACGAGATTGTCATTCATATCGTCCACTGCATGGCAATCTTGTAGGCACTGAAAGCGGTTACGTAACTCGAGCTGAAAATTTTCGGGATTCTGAATTAGAGCATGAGGGGGACGGAGCGTTGACTTCATTAGACTAGACCTCTCCAACTTAACGTTTAGGTTCAGTGTGCCTCTAACCATTCGGTGATCGCTGCCAGTTTTCACCCTTGCGATCACTGAAACATCACTGAACAGTTGGCGTCTGGTCGTCATAATGAAGTCAATCTCATTTTTTGTCGAACCGTCGGGGCTCGACCAGGTCCACTTCCTGTGGGGCCGCTTCTGGAAGAAAGAGTTCATAAAGAGTCCCTCTTTCTCCATAAAGTCAGCCAGCTGCTGGCCCCTTCGGTTCCGTTGCCCTACTCCAAATTTCCCTAACTTCAGCTCACCGTTTTCTCTTGTGCCTAGTTTTGCGTTGAAGTCTCCCATCAACACCGTGTAGTGGGTTTTGGAGGAATGCATGGCTTTGGAAATATCCTCATACATTTCCTCCACGGGATGTGCCGAGGTTGGTGCGTAAACCTGTATGACCTTCAGCGAATACCGTTTGGTGATTCTGAGTATCAGGTACGCGACCCTCGTCGACACACTCCCAATCTTTACAACGTTGTTGACGAGAGACTTGTGGATGATAAATTCGACACCTCCTTGGGACAGATGGTCGCCCTCCCGGTGATAGAACAAGTTGCCGGATTCGAGAATCACCGTATACTCCCCCTCTCTTCGGACCTCGGATAATCCTATAATATTCAAACGAAACTTGTCTATCTCTTCTTCCAGCTCCAGGATCTTCTCGTCAGTCCTCAGGGTGCCTGCGTTAAATGTTGCCAGGTCGAGTCGTCGTAGGTGGCAACCGAACCTCCACCGGAGATTCTTAGCACCCCCTGCCCCGCCGTTACTTCCCACGCTTAGCGAGCGGGTTGGCAACCGCAGTTTTTTTTCGTCGTACAGTTGCTGTTATCAGGAAGATGCTGCTGCCCATCTCCTGCCTTTTTCCCTCTGTCGCCTTTTACGACACCCACGGGAAGATATGGGGTAGTGGATATTCTTAACCGCCACTACACGGCAGTTAATATATATATATATATATGTATATAACAAACACAAGTAAAGTAACAAAGAAGTAGCCTTATATTACGACTTTTTGTTTCAAAATGCCAAATCCTCCTGCGGGTGTACGCCGCACCCGCACTTTCTAACAACAGGTCCCATCCGCAGAGATCGTGATACTTGGATTTTTACGCCCACCACGCTGAATGGCTTGGTTCTCGTTTAACCGATCATGCGGGTAGTTGACTGTTGATCTGTTTATGACTTTGCTTTGACATATGGTCTGACACAACTGGTTACCTTGCCTCTTCGGATCTCAGATGTGGAAGATCATGTACCTTCCCTGTTGGACCTTCTGCTGACCTCTCATCCGGACGAATATCAGGTCTCCGTCGACGCCCCTCTTGGCTCCTCGGACCATTGCCTGATCCGGAGTACGGTGCCATTCACGCTCCCATCGCGGTTTCGTACTGCAGCCGATTGGGACGGGATGCGATCTTTTTTTGCATCCTACTCTTGTAGGCAGGTTTGCTTCTCGCCGGATGATCCCAGCGTTGTTGCTGATTCTGTCGCTGATGTGGTGCTACAGAGAATGGAGCTTTTTATTCCATCATCTGTGGTACCTATCGGAGGCAGAACCCAGCCTTGGTTTGGTCGCTTCAGCAAAATTGCATTACGTCATTAGCAAGAGTGCTACCAGGCCTGGGCTCGCGCATCGACGTCTCGGGATGCAAATAGCGCTCTTAAAAAGAAGTATAATTCTGCTTCCAGGTCCTTCAAAAGTGTCATTGTTAAGGTAAAGTCAGAGCACATCGAAACTTTGACTCGTGATTGGTGGGAATTGTGAATGAGTCGAAAACAAATGATCTGAATGAATTGAAAGAAAATTTCCGCTATCACAGACGTACGGAGTACTGGAGCCCGAAATGATCCATTTGAATGATCGATCCGAATGTACCGGTTTGCGTGACGAAATGTACTAGAATGATTTAGTCACAAGAAATGAATTATTGACACATGTCTAATATACTTTTATTCTTTGTTTCCAGGGCTGAGGTTCCTCCGAGCTCTACGCTTAATGACCGTGCCTGATATTTTGCAGTACCTCAATATATTAAAGACATCGAGCTCAATTCGGCTGGCCCAATTAGTTTCTATATTTATATCGGTGTGGTTGACGGCAGCCGGTATCATTCATTTGGTGAGTTCCGTATGTTTGTCACGTACATTAGATTATTTCATAGGGATTCGCAATATAATTGGGACGTAAATTGAGGGAAATGATTTACCGTTAATAAGTTTTAGGTTGTGATTAATAATATAACGTAATAACTTTTTAAGATAAATTATAACATTGAAATTAACATATTCTGTCGCGATACTATAGTCAACCAAATCTAAGAAATACATTTTGACAGCTGTCAGACTTGTTGCACCAAGCATGCCAACCAAAACATGGGAACGTACAATATTCGATTCTTAAAAAAATCGATATCGATTATTTAGGGTTGATAATCATTTACAGTTGTTTGGTTTGAATAATACCAGAATAAATTAAAAACGGATAATTTAAAGCACAAGATTTATCAGTTTCTTAGTATTTGTCGTTACTGCTTATTTCTAGAGGCACAGTTATAAAAATTTAAGATTGAAACTAGATTAAAAATAAATTTATTCAATCACTTTTGATTTTCAATAATGAAGTCAAAATTAATGTCTCTTTGTCGTTGTTTGTTCGCCTTTGATGTTCTTTTGTCTAAAGTCATCCATAATCATTTTTTTTTTGTTTTGTTCTACCACTCTTGCCCAATCATTATTTGTGACATGGGTACATACTTCAAGGAATATTTTTTATAGCATTGGATGACAAACGAGCACACAGTCCACCTGATGGTAAATGGATGCTATGGCCCATAGACATACACATTTATCGTCAAATAAGAATCAAAATGCAAATATGTTGTCACCCCTGATGGCTAAGAGAAGCCTCGATTCCAGTAAAAAGGGGCTTTGGGTCTCTACACTCACCATATGAAACACATCAACATTACGCTGCTATTTTACGCTGGTATTCTTTGAGAGCGTTGTCCTGCCCTGGTTGAGCCGACCCACTCGTGCTACAACTATAATATAGATATAACGTGGCTCTACCACGTATAAAAGTTATTATAGAAGAAACAGTCCAAAAATTTAAAGCCGAGTCACAAAATAAGAAGACAAACACACAATCACAAAATTACGCACAGTAAGATCTCGAAACAGAAACAGAAACTTTTTATTCAATATAGATTATGAATAATACTTATTGAAAGTCACTTTTTTCATTTACCACTGGTTCGCAAAAAAAAAACCTCTGTCCTGGGAAGAACCTACAAGAAACCCAACGGGACTAGTTTAAAAAAAGAGCTTACAATCATGCACAAAACAAATTAGAAATATGTAGCTTGGTAGCGATCACCCTTCCCAGGGGTTATTATCATCCACAAATTCCTTAATATTTAAATAATCCTTTTTATACAAACTTAGTTTAATAAAGTTTTTGTACTTTGTGTACTTACGTCAAATTTTGTATATTTTCTGGCATTTTGTTGTAAAAGCGTATACATCGCCTCAAAAATGAATTACTGATTCTGTGGAGTCGGGTAACTGGTACCGAAATGGCGGGATATTGAAATTATGTAGTGGTTATCTTAGCACGGCCTTGCCTATGAGTTTTTTTGTCTACACAAATTTACATTGCAACGTAAAAAAAAATAAAATTGTTTTGTACATGATTCATGTAATTTAAGGAATTTTGAAAATAAAAATTAAATTAAACAAATAATATATTAAAGACATTATTATTAGAATATTTTACCGATTATTTGAATATTTTGCCGATTATTCGCATAACAAAGAATTTTAATCATTCAAACACTACGGTAATATACATACATGTCATTAAAACGACGTCAATTAAAAAAGTTAATACTGGTTATTTTTTAATATTTTGTATTGTTTGAAAAATTCAAATTGAAATTAGTGATAAAAAACTATACACGTTGTAATGAAATATTCTTCTAAATAATAAACTTCATAATTATTCGGATTTACGTAAAAGGTTATTTTAAATCGTGTGAGTACGCTTGTGCAAAGTTATTGCGGAATGATTAATGTGAAACGTCAAAAGGTATTTCTTAGATTTGGTTGACTATAAATATGGTTTGTTGAGTATCCAGTACGAATGGGTCGGCTATGCTGAGGGAGGACCACGCTCTCACAGATTACCAGCATGGCCATATTGCTGCTATCTTTCGTATGGTGAGCGTAGAGAACCGACGACTATATTGTCTCATTTTCTAATTTAAATTAGAAAATGAGACAATAAAGGTAGTCTCTAGCAGTTATAATAACTTAAATAATTTAGAATGTAGCTTACAAATCTTTAATATTTGTAATTGTATGACTCCACTCCACAAAATGATAATAAAAATAGTTTACACCTGGTGCATCAAAATATACAAGGCATGATAGGCAAAGAGCTAGTAATTGAATTGTTCTTAAATAAAAAGAATATTCTTTACAAAAAAAAAACAATTTAAAACATCTTTCTTACTATGTAGTGTGTATATATTTTACGTATTACTGAACATTGGCTAAAAACTTATAATGCACCAGGCTGTCAGTTCTTTCAATAAATAAACGGTTTGGAGAGGTGGCTCCTTAATTTTAGCTAGTAAATTATTATCATGTAAAGAACGTAAAGATATTATGAGGATCTCTCTTGAGCGAACTGTAGAAATGGCGTGTGTTGAGTTTGAGTAGCTCATTGTTGTAAGCGTTTACAGGTCCCTATGTTCTATTTTGAAAAAATTGTGGAAGAAGTTTTTGCTAAGTTTAATAATCTCCTAGAAGCTTCCTCCACCAAGATAAAATTTAGATCATTGTTTAAATTTCAAACCAAGAATAGTGCAACATGTACAGATAATATTTTTCAAATGTTAAGCCGTTCCATAAATGTATTGTTCAAAAATTGAGCTCTGATCACTGTGGACAATTAGACTCATTACTTTATCTTCGCAAAAAGCAAGTATATGAAAAATTTGTGTTTGTTACCGTAAATTCACGTCGCTTGGAGAAGTTTAGAAGTAACAAAGTAAAAAAACTCTCATCACTTTCATACCAAAATAATCCAGATTTGTTGTATGGAACATTAAGCTTATTTGCAATGAATTTAATAATACTTTTACTTCTAAAACATTCTCCTTGAACAATCGCAAAGCATTCAATGCATGGGCGACAGTTGGAGCCCATAAGAGTACACAAAGTTTATATGACCTATACAATGAAACGTCATATAATCCTAGCGTCGAATTTATGGAATATGTAAAAAAATATTCAAAAATGTTTAAAATAGTGTGCTCTATAGCCAAGTCTTTGTATTTGAGCAACAAAATAAAGACGGCTTCTAATAAAATTAAAATGACATGGAGTATAATTAATAGCGAAACTGGTAAGGTCAACTCTCGCAATGCAAACTACCAGTTAAGTTTTAACAATAAATTAACTAAATCAGATCAGGATTTTGCAATGGTTTTTGAGAAATATTTTACTGATATTCCGATCTTAGCTACTAAGTCATTGAATTCTTCTCCTGCGGTCGCCGAATCATTACTCAAACAAAATGCGTGTACAAAGAATTTTACATTTCATAAAGTATCATCAAAATATATTGTAAAATATTTTAAAATTATTGATATTAAGAAAATCGCAGATCTGTGGGAGATTTCCGTAAAAGTTGTTGCGTCTATAATAGATACAAACGCACCTCAACTATCTATTACTTTTAATACTAGTATCAAATCGGGTGTGTTTCCTGATTTAATGAAGCATAGTAAAGTAAAGTAAAAGTAAAAGTATTACTTTTATATAAATCTGGTGGCACATTGGACCCTGCTGATTTTAAACCTATTTCTGTACTGCCAATACTTAGATCATTATATTAGCTCGATTTACCTTGTCCATTGTTCATATTGCCCGGGTACTATAAATAGTTCCCTGATTAATCACTTGATTCATAACAATTTTCAATTATTGTATAATTATTATAATATAATTTACAATTTTGAATTGACAAATCAATTTTCATTAACTTGAGTGTTTCGATCATACATATATAGAATACACGTTCCAAGGAACACTTTATTTGTTCCAGCTGGAAAACTCCGGCGACCCGCTGGACTTTAACAATGCGCAGTCGCTTTCATACTGGACTTGCGTTTACTTTCTTATAGTAACCATGTCCACAGTAGGTTACGGTGACGTGTTCTGTCACACTGTTCTCGGCAGAACATTTTTGGTTTTTTTTCTCCTCGTCGGCTTGGTAAGTTTCACTTTCTTTTTTTCTTTCTATATAAGTAATTATTTACAAAGTCTAATAAATTTCATTATGAAAAAACTTCTATTACTGAATACATTTGCAAGGAGGGGCAAGTTTATTTAATATAACAATATGTTATGATATAATCGTTCCACGAGAATTTGCTTACAGCCCTTGCGTTTATTTACGCAGCGCTTGCAATTCCTTGCATTCAAAGCAAATTTGATAACAAAGCAAAAGGAAATAAATTATTGGGGACTCGCTATGAAATATTTTTATACCTCTAAATGGGACCTAGAGATACATATCAATTGAAAGCACAGCTCGTTGAATGGTTGTACGCCTCCTAGTGCACATAGACAGCATGCGAGTAACTTGGACCTTGCGCGCCGACCGTAGCCGGCCGCAGCTGCCAGCTCTGTGTGCCATGACTTCTAAGCTAACTTCTCGATCGCTACCGAAGGAGCACCTTTCGAGACACGAAACGAGCGTCACTTGGAGCGATTCCGATGCATGGGTGTATTTTGTTTTTCTTTTGCTTTGTTATGTGATACTTACCACGAATGTGCTGCCGTAAAATCTCTTACCGTGCTTAAATATTGGAGATGTATAACGGGGACAGTGGTACGAGTGGTACGAGACGAGACACGTAGTTGTCGCGGAGGCGCCCGCCGCGCGCCGGTTCCCGCGCCGCGTCCCACCCCTCCCACCTCGCGATCTCTGCATGCGCACCTGTGCCTGGCTGTGTTCAGTTGCTCACATCACCGGTAGACACACACTCGTTCCTTTTATTATTTTTTTTATTTCGCTCCGCTCGCTATACCGGCTACACTTTACTATATGTCACCATAGTTATACCGAGACTCCAGGTGGACATTGTCGTGCACCACGCGATGGTGTCCGCGTGCACACATATTCGATATCCGATCGACACCATGGTCTGTTGCAGGCAATGTTCGCTAGTAGCATTCCTGAAATTATAGAGCTGGTAGGAAGTAGGTCCAAGTACAGTGGCGAGCTGAAGCGTGAACATGGAAAAAGGTATCAATTTGATGTATAAGTTGACAGACGCGAGTGAAAGCGATTCATCCCGCGACGCGCGCGACGCTAAGCTACGGCTGCGCTGCCGTGCTCGGTCTGGGTCGCTCGATCTCTCGAAGAAGATGAGAACTCATCACCTATACGAAAGCTTGCTCAGTGCCGTCAGATGTATTGTGTTATCTACTCGCGCACACCCGTCGGTCCCGCGGTCGGCTAGCAGAGGGTGTCTCGCCTCCGCGTTACCGTCGCTCTGAGCTTGCGAGCCGATTATCAGTAAATCGGTGGCGAGGCCCTCTTAGAGGCCCCTCGGGACGGTCGGCCCGTGTGCGTGTTCTACCAAGCGTCTATACCGAATGCCCATCGTCTTAGTTTAGGAACCGGTGATACCGATTTCTTTTTAAGTTCTGTTCATCGATTAGTTAGCGTATAAATCCAGGCTTTGCATGTACCCGGTCACGAGTCCCGTCACGTAGCCCCCGCTAGCGTAGCTCGGCACGGCACCCAAGTCCCGCACCCGTCCACACCACGCCACAGCCACACGCAGACAGACGACACTCAAGCCACACAGCCTTGTGCGAGCGCGAGGGTTCGCGGCGGGCCGGGGGGGCGGGCGCGCGGGGGGGCCGGTGCTCACCTCACGGTGTTTGCTGTGTATCGTAGGCTGTGTTCGCCAGCTGGATCCCCGAGATCACGGAACTGGCGGCGCAGCGGAACAAATACGGCGGCCGGTACAACAAGGACGTCCGCCGCAGGTACCCTGCTCTCACGCCCCCGCTCCACACGGCTTCCTGCCTTCCCACCTCTCACGGTTTCAATCTGACTTGGTTGACTGAATGCGGAGTTTGCTAATGAAATTTATTAATCCTTCACTAGAATCGGTCTCTCGGTGCCGTGGCGCATGCTCGAAGAGTTAGCTCCCGGCGGCCGCGCTCCTCTCCCCGAACTCGAGAGATAGGCGCGCGGTCGACCGACGCACTACTACATGCCTTTTTCGTAAATTTCACTCGAGATACCGTTGAGCTTTTTAATCCTTCTAACGAGACTAGATCTGGAGAGAGCCGATGTAAAGTTTTGTAATGCTGTCAATGAAGTAGTGTTTGGTTTGTTCGCTTGCACACGATGCCTGTCGCCACGCTGTAGAGCTAGCTCCGGCACCTCGCCACAGTCCCGAGATCACACACAGCCAGTGCCGCGCGCCCCCCGCGCCCCTCGCCACGCGCCCCCCGCCCCCGCCCCCCGCCGCCAATCAGCTCGCGGCGAGGCGCGCCGCCCGCCCCGCCGGCGGCCCGCCTCGCCGCGCCACGGACCACTGCTCGACTTCAATGTGAACCATGTTTTGTCTGTCGGCGTTTAGGCGATATTTGCCAGTTGTATCCCAGAGATAATTGACTTAATCGGCACTAGACCCAAGTATGGCGGCACCCTCAAGAATGAGCGGGGACGCAGGTGAGCCGCTGTCTTCACTCCGTTCCGTTGAATGTGTTCCGTGTTGTGAATTCTATATCTTCATTTTCCTCTCTTAGCACGCTTCTGTGTTCTCACTTTATCTTTAGCGGGACGCGAGTCCCGCGCGTTGTCTTTGTTTTTGAGTCGATATTGATTGTAAATTATCTTTGAATTGATTTGAGTTCAGTTGAATAGAAACAAGCAGATAGTCGCTAGTTTTATCGCTCTTCATATAGGTAATTATAATTATGTTCTGTTAATGTACTGTACTGTACCTGCGTGTTAATAAGGAATGTTAAACGTAATTGCTTAGATATGAAAAGTTAAATGTTGAGTGGTACCGTAGAGAGTTGTTGTTGGCGTTGTCATGTGTCGACACGTCGACAGCTCCGGCGGGGGCGCAGCCGGTCTGGTCCGGCTGCCTCCACTGGTCCGCTGCCCTCCGGACCGAGCCAGCGGCCGGTTCGGCGCGTATCCGCGTGGCGCTGCCGATGCGGCCCCGACTAGTGAGTGCCATGATGCCATCCACTCCGCTCGCCTCCCTTCTACTTCCCTGCCTGCACGAATTATGTACTTGTACTGTTCTCTTATTCTTAATGTTGCCCCAATTTACTGTATTTGTTATCTGTAATGTAATTTTGAATCGACCCCCTCGGTAAATTTAGTGTAATGTAATTGCGTAAAAGATTCATAGAGCGTGGCAAGGCTGTGTGCATTGAGGACAATTTAACGCAACAATAGATTTAGTTTTCGACATGCCATTTGTGATATCATCTTAGCGACGAGTTTACACTGTTCATTCATATTAACTTTTTAATTTAATTATTAAAAAAATGGGAGTTTAAACGATTTTTAATTAATACGAGGTAGAGAATGGTTAATTTGAAGAAAAAAATTAAATCAGTTCCTTTGCCACACCTTAGAGAATTGTAGCTTGCATGTTGTACGTAGTTACCAGCATATTGCATCCAGTCTTTCTTGCTCTCAATTTAATTTTCAATGATGATTCTCGTTTTATTTAAGATCTGTCCTTACATAACTTTGTTTAATACACAAACATCCATCAATGTTCGAACACGATCGAATGTATGTCTGCAATCACACATTGCATTTGAGCGCTGCCTAACCCTTCTTAATATGAACTTATAAAGAATTGAGGCTGGATCCCAAATATAAACTCAGAAATTACACAAACTGAAACATTAACATATTACGAAATATCTTAGGGAAAGTGTACTGAGACGCAAGCTTTTAATATCCTTTGAATTCAAGATAGCGAAATCGTATTAAATAATCTTGAAACATTAAGGAACATGGTTAAAAATAAAATAAACGTACCTAAGCATTTTGACGAACATACTGGTTAATATTCCTTAATGTCAAAAGATTTTTTTTAATTATCTCTCATAGACACGTCGAAACATTTACATTATTATAATTTTCGTGATATCGCTCTTAGAGTCATCTTTTTTTTCTACAGTGTGATAGTGGCTAGTTTTATTTACATTTTCATTGCAAGTATCTCACGCGTCGATAATCTTTCCGTTGGTGTTATATTTTACTGTCTTTTACTGTTAGTGTGGTAGATAGTTACACAAAACCTGAACGCTACTGAGATTGTTCAATAGTTTTTATTAGTACTTAAATACACTAATCAAATCGCTATATTTTATGTTTTAATTAACTAATTACGTAAATTGTATTAATGCAGTTAAATTAAAAACTAATGAACAAAGTATGTAATTGTGTTTATTGAAGACAACGTTTTCAAAGTCTATTGTTGTTCTTTGAACAATTTTTTATAATTTTATTTTGTTATTTCTTATAAATATTAGCTGGATTTAATTTCAGACTTTGTTAACAATGTTGGATACTTCATGCTTTCTTCACGTATCGTTTTGTTTAACCCTGTTGCGACCATACTTTTTAAATTCTACCAAAATTTCTACTCTGTGGTCCCAGGAGTTAAATAAAACTTCAAATTGCTGTACTTCCTTCTATCTATTCTCTTTATGTATGATTTGTGATGCTTCTCAATGTATTGCTTGTGGATTATTTATAAGTCTACTATCAATGAAAACTGAACTTTCTGTGCCTTAAAAATTGCATAAAATACTTGCGATATTTAGAATAAATTTGCTTTCACCGCTTATTAAAAATTTTGAGCAAATTTTATTTTAGCAAAATTAAATGACATGATATTTTATACAAAAGTTATAATATAATTATAAATTTTCAGGCATATAGTTGTATGTGGACACATAACATACGAATCAGTTAGCCATTTTTTAAAAGACTTCCTACATGAAGACAGAGAGGATGTTGATGTTGAGGTTGTTTTTTTACATAGGTGAGTTGTTTTACTTTAAAAATTAATGTCTACAATTTTGTATCATGATTTTGATAATATGTTACTGGCCGATTCTTAACCAAACAATATCCGTATACTGTGTAAAGCTGGAGGCATTATTGTGTTAGAAGAATACAAGATACAGTGTGGTGGCGACGAAAGAGACGTAAGAGGCGACTGTGAGAAATTCGAAAAAATATTATGGCTTCCGATAGATGGCGGTATAACTTACAACAGACAAATAATATTCAGATCGGCGATAGGTAGTAGCTTCAGAGGTTGAGGTTGAGGCGAGACTGTTAATGCGGTCATCGATCCGAATGCGTGACGTGGCGTGTCCAGCAGTTGACTTTTACGAGCTGACGATGATGGAGAAAGAGTTTACTCGTCATAGTATACTCTCGCCCAATACAACAAATATGATGACATTGTAATGTCAAAATCGCGCAAAAAAAAATGTCAAAAAAACCAAAACTGTGAACAAGTGTTTGTGTCTGGGATACGAATTCGGGACGTAGTAGACTTACCACTAGATAATAAACATCGGTGCATTAAAAACGATCGCAAGTTGAGGCTAAATACATTTAAAAGCGCCGATGATAAATCACACTTATTTTTTCCTAAACATTATCAACAACGTATAGTAGATTACTAATAAAAATGCAATATCAAAAACTTCGGGGAGACGGTGTGTTATCTGTGATGCAACGACGCTTTCAGAAAAGAGCCTGACCTTGAGCTGGAAGGTCTCCTGAAGCGTCACTACACCACCGTCGAGTTTTTTCAGGGTACAATGATGAATGCCGTGGACCTTGAACGAGTCAAGGTTAGAGTGAGACCGAATAGCGCTGGCATTAGTTAATCGCACGGCCCTATTTATCATTGATACGCGTCTACGTGAACCAGTACCTTTTATTTATATGCATTAAACAGATCTTTTTCTTCTGTAAAGATGCCGTTTCATAGTCACCGTAGGAATTTATCACTTATGTAACATTATCTTGGTTCTTTGCAATCATTGCTTTCACGGCGGGACGGTGGTGCTTGGGCTTCAGCCGGCAGGCGCCTTCGTCCCGCTACACTACCGCGTACTTTGGTACAATCTAGCGTGCATGGTATCGTCGGTCCGCGACAGGCGGCGGACTGACCAGTAAGACCCGTAGCGTTAACTGACAGTTGATGGCAGGAAACCGCCCGATCTGGAGCTCGAAGGCCTGTTCAAGAGACACTTTACCACTGTGGAATTCTTTCAAGGCACCATTATGAATCCAATCGACCTACAGAGGGTAAAAGTAAGTAGCACCGCACACAAGTGGATATGTGATTGATCTTTGGGCGTGGTGTCGGTTTGAAGCTGTGCAGACTATCTTTCCTATAGACGTAGAGCGATGCTCGTTCATTAATTAACATTTCCGAGGTGGTGTTCTATTGGAGTTGTGTACAGTTCCCTTCTAACGCCATGACTTGACGCTGTTTGTGCGTGTCTATCGCTGCTGTCTGTTACTGTGTGCCCAGGCACGGCATCGCTCATCACGTGCCGGACCTGACCGGCCCGGGCCGCGCCCATGCCACTTTGTGTCTGTACCTACCTAAATGGGTGTTGTATGCGATGCTGACCACGTGTTTGTACTTTAAACAATCGATATTGACTTAACGAAATTCGAATCAATTTGCACATTGGCATTAATGGCTGCCGACGAAAGGGTCTCCATTACAAAATTTGCTTTTACTAGTAGTTCGAATTTATGGATAGTCGATATTGTCGAGTGTTTATGGTAAGTTTTTAACGTTAATGCACGGCTTGTGAGTTTCTTGGTTTTTCAATAACCGTTTGCATGTTATTTAAATATATTTATCTATAAAGTAACACTAAAAAAAACCTAACTGTACATAGCCCATGTAATATTGATGTAGTTATCATTTTAATTGTTTTATGTGTGTTTTTTATCGCATGTCTCTTCACGCTTTTTTTGTTTTGTAGTTTAGTAAACTTTTTGTTATAAACCTTGAGACACTTTAACCGGAACTTTTACTGTACTATTTCTAAGGTTCAAGTTCTCGAGGATTACTAATTATTTTTAACGGTAAGTATACAAGCATTCAATAACTACCTTTAATGATTCCTTAAGCATTTACTACACCAGTCTTTTCAATTTTAAACATAAATAAGTGTACAAATGACGATAATATACAATAACTTTATAATTTACTAATATACACGTATGTGTATAGGTGCATGAAGCGGATGCGTGCTTAGTTCTAGCAAACAAATACTGCCAGGATCCAGATGCTGAAGACGCCGCTAATATAATGAGGGTCATTTCCATCAAGAACTATTCAGATGACATCAGAGTAATTATTCAACTTATGCAGTATCACAACAAGGTAAAAGCTTACTCACGACTGACCCTGCCTTTTTTTAGACGTACAGTTGATACAGTTCACAAGGTCAACCTGGCGGCAAGTGTTTTTTTTTTAATTCTTTATTTGCGCAATATGGGTACAGATGGTGTTACAGTGGTCAATTTACATTGTTGATCGCCATATTTAGGCTCATGCCATGCAAAAATTCTTAATTTTATGCTATAGATTAAATTAAAATTATTACATATCAAATCATAGTGTCTAAATAATTATTAAAATAATGTCAAATGGGATTACCTAATTAATACACAATGTCAACTTTGTAAAATAATGTCACATAAAATGTCTAATTAATGTCACAGTACCACTAAGCCGGTTACAATACTGCATGTTTGTTTGACGGCTTCGTGGCGCAGTGGCTTAGCAATGACTTACATCGCTGAGGGCCGCGGGTTCAAATCCAGCACGGACCAAGTATCTGTATGACCTACAAGTTATTGTTCCGGGTCTGGATGTTTGTCCTTGTACGATTTATATATGTAAGCTGCCCCCACGGTACAGGAGAAAATCCTAGTGTGGGGGTAACGTATATTTAAAAAAAAGGAAAAATGTAGTCCATAGACACCTACATCTGTCTTTTACAAATGGGTTGTTACTAGTGAAGAGACAACAATGAGAGTGAAATGCCTTATTACGAACGAAAAGGGTCTACGGTTATCGTCACTCACTATACGAAACATACTCATAGCAGCATTATGCTGCTATTTCACGCTGGTATTTTGTGCAAAGGTGTCCCTTCCCCGGTCGAGCCGTTCCATCGGCACTGCTGCGTAGCTCTACCAATTAAAAAAGTTTAGTTATTTTATAATATTACAGCAAATAACGAGCTGACATAATGGTAAGTGTAGCCCATAGATACCTACAAGCAACTTAAACAAATAAGACTGTACAGACGTTACGTTGTTGCCTATGAATGTTAAAATTAAATTCCTAACAGCCTGTATTGATACTAGTTTTCTATACCCATCAGAACGGTTCTCTGTACACAGCAGTACAGGCACTGCTATTAGGAGGTAGGAATAGATAAGAAGGCAGAAATGAAGTCCTCCCACCCAGTTTAAGTAAGACTTCAAGCAAGAAGGCAACGCGGTCGTTATTATCCAATGATTTCAAAATGAAGGATAGGCCCATCTAAATATTTTACTCAAAATTTTTCGTACAAGAAAAAGTAGCGCATCTGTCATAATACAAACGTCATATCATAACACGACGTAACCAGGGTCGGATTTCGTAGTATAATAATTATCCTAATTGTACCATTATTTCACAGTATGTAGTATCGTAATAATACTAAATAATTAAATACCATAATTTTACCAAAAATTCGACTTGTATTATTATTGGGTCCTTCTACTTTTTAACATTAACCCTAAGATATCGAGAATTTTTGTATTGTACGTGAGTACCGTGTTTTTTAATAAAATTAGAATTGACTCCCTTTCTGGTCAGTCTAGTTTCTGGATGTTAACGCTGTTAGTCTATGTGACTCTTACAGCTCAATCTGGTTCAGAGAATTTCTGGTCAATTGGTGCTCGATCGATGCATTTATGTTCCATTCTTGATACAACTATAATGAGGGGCTACCACGATAAAAACTCTAAGCTCTAGCAATCAGTTTGAAAACAGAATTTCAAAATATTTTATGAATCAGATTTTCAGATTCAATTGCCGCAATTTCAATTAAGCAAAAGAGCGGCAAAAAAACAGGAGGGGGGGAGGAGAAAGGCGCCCCCCCAAGAACCCTTTCCCAGGGAAAATAGAGAGAAGCAGATATGGTTTCTTTTGTACTCTTTTCATTTTACCCTTATTGAATATAAAATATATTAGGTACCAATATTCAAAATTTAACTTACACTAAGTTCTTTAGAAAAAAAATTAAACGGAAATGGCAAAAAACGAAACGTATAGATAAACTAGACGCGTGACGCCATAATCCCGGCACATGGGAAGAAAGAAACATGTAACGTCAAACGCGATATAGTTTTTGAAAAATAGTATACCTAATTTTATTTTCCATATACAATATTTTTGAGGGTCTGAATCCAACCCTGGCCTAATCTTGGTAACGTAATTAAACTAAATGTAAAATAAAATTTAAAATGTGTTTATATAATAATTTAATATCAACGAAATGAATATAAGTTTATTGTACTGATGATACGATATCCCATGTTCCTATTTAATCTTTGTATCGTAATTTTTACACCCTTTTACCACGCAACTAGACATATTTATGACAGGCAAATCTGACTTGCGCGCGCACCATTGTCAACCGAGTCGGGTTGGCCCTAAACTGTAATTTTAGGGCCAGCGCACTGGTCCCGTTTTGGTTGTTCGGTCGTGCCCGGTCCTTACGCTAGTAATATATAAGTCAATGTTATCATCCTACAAAATTAGGATAAGATGCCTCACAGCCTTCAATTTTACTGGTTTTTTTTTCTCTTCAACAACAACACAGCTATGGCGGCATTGTACAAAGAAGAGAGAGGTAAATAGATACCAAGAGACTTTCAGACGGAAAGGATTACTACACTAGTATACATATGTAGGCGAAAGAGGATCATCTCAGATTCACTCATAATGGCTGGCGCAAATATGCGTACGTTACAACCTAAAGTACAAGAAAATACAATATTAAGCAGATCGTTAGCAATTCGTCGTAAATATATGGCTCGCTTCACGATTTTTTTTTTGTCAAAAATCATATATTGCATATAAACAATAAGTTTGCCACGTTACCAACGATACAACGCTTTGCTAGAGTAAAACCTTTTTACTCTTGACCCAACCAGTATTTTATGTGTGTATATATAATTATGAAAATCAATTGCTGTCATAGTCATGTAGTGAAGGCATAAGAGAATCCCTATATCATGCCGTGATTGCCGTAAGAGGCGACATAAAGAAATAAGACAGGGGATAGGCAGTAGTTTCTCTCTGATAAAAAATAATAAATTACTCCAGGTTCCAACTACCTTACCTAGTGTGAGAACTATGGCAAATATGCCGCCTATAAGGCAATCTATGGGGGTTGCCTATGTTCAGCAGAGAACTTTTAATTGCCTATAATAACCGAAAGAAAAATAAATTTCTTATCATGCCTGTTGGTGCGTATTTATAAAGACCAGGAAGCAGTGAGTTTAAAAAAGACTTACATCGTTAGTAACTCTATTAACATTACTAATACTTCCGTTTACCACTTTAAGTAAGCTTAAAATGCTTGCGTTAGGAGTAATTCATGACAGTAGTCGAATTTGAACCCTCGACTTCCGAGTTTGCAGTCCGTATCCTTAACCATTAGCTTACTATCTATCGCTTTGACTATTAAAGAAAGTTGAATTTATTTTATCTTTTAATATCGCTTTCAGGCCTACCTCCTGAACATTCCTTCATGGGACTGGAAACAAGGAGACGATGTCATTTGTTTAGCGGAATTGAAACTAGGATTCATCGCTCAGAGTTGTCTCGCGCCTGGTTTCTCAACAATGATGGCCAATCTTTTCGCCATGAGGAGTTTTAAAACGGTCAGAGTTTACAGTTATCTTTGTTTATCGCACTTAATCATCTAGATATTATAAAATATATTCGAAGAGATTTCGTTTAGTATTTAAATAATTATAGCAAGACCAATAATTATTTTTTGTACTGCCAAGCACCGGAACGCTTTCGTAAGTTACCTGATAAGACGCCATAGATAGCACCAGCTGTGACTATATATGAACGCGTCCGGTCTCTTCGAATATATTGAACTAAAATTATTTTATGCGGCGTTTCCAGTCCCAAGACATGGCTATATGGACTAATGACTACATGCGAGGTACGGGGATGGAGATGTACACGGAGACATTGAGCAGTACGTTTATCGGGATGCCCTTCCAACCGGCGGCTGAGTAAGTGGGCAGAACAGATGCTTTCAAGCAGTGACTTAAGACGACGTCACTCACTCATGTGTTCAGCTCCACATCCCATTCCGCTGGTCGAAGGACAAACGACATCACTAACAAAGATCGCAAAGCTTCTTTCCTTTTTCATTACCTTCTGTTTGTCTTTTGATTTGCCAGCTTAAATCTGTGAACTTTCCTTCTCTATAGGTACTGCACTGAATAACTTTACAGATATCATATTTAAATATAATTAATTATACAGAGCTTTATACAGAGAACTAATTCTTAGAAATCTAACTATAAGTTCGAAATAAGATCGAGCATTTCGCAAACGCATTTAGGGGTGGTCGTGATGAGTTTTCAGTGGCTGTGACTAACACGGCACGAGCTTTAGCGTCTCCTATTGGTTGATTGCAGTCCCCCGACACACAAGCTTGGCAGAACGATTACCTGCAGGGCACGGGCTGTGAGATGTACACAGAGACACTGTCGACCTCCTTCACAGGGATGAGCTTCCCACAAGCGAGCGAGTAAGAATGCCTACACCCTTGGGCTCCACCCTTCCCTCACCGTAGTCTATGTGTGCCATTTTGTTACCCCTGCCGATGAATGTGCATTAACTCCAACCACTTTAGACATTAACAATCATAAGCGAAATATTGTTAACCCTAATGCATGTTAAGAGTTAAGAATTCTAGAGTTGTTTAGTGAGATGGTTGAGACTATTACTTAGATGCACATGTTTTATTTCGGTCGAGTTTCCACTCTATGATATTTTTATAAAATTTTCATAATAGGTTCCTAATATTTTGATTTTCAGTGCAGCTAAAAGGACGTTTCGTTTTATTACATAGTTATTACTTAATTTAACTTTCCACTATTTAAACTTTACCTTAGATTTAAACTTCCTTCCCTCGCTTGTGTCTGTAGCTTTTTTAGCCTCTCTTTGTCTAATTTCAATTTTCTTTTGATTCATAAAATAAATTACCATTTGCATGTTGATATCTAAAAAATATCAGTTTTTGAACTTTAATAAATACTTACAGTATTAAAATATAACAAGTAAATATGTTAGTACTAAAAATATTTAGGTTAAAATTAAATATAAATAGATATATGTATATAGCTTTTGTGTTAAATTTAAATAATGAATTATAATTTTTGTAACATATTTATAACTAAACACGGTAATGATCCATTCATGTTGTTATATATGTCACGGTCAAAAGCCGAAATACGAATACACCTATATTTAACCGGCTACAACTATATGCAGCCGTTTTAATTTTTTGAAAACAGTTTTGAAATCAGTTCATTACATTAAGCATAGACAGATTTTAAAACGGTTATAACGACGTAACCAAAATTAAATTACGTAGTTGGAACATACATATATTTAGGAAGCTCTAGCTAAAGCTTAGTGTATCCGCACCTTGGCTTTTAATTTATGCCGTAACATATAAACTGCATGACTAAATTTACAATCCTTATAAATACTTTTAATGTGACTAAACTTTGCTTGTTTAAATAAAATACAGTAGTGATTGCATGTGGTATGTTAGTAAAATTAAAATTATCAGTACATAACATAAATAGGTATATTATTTTATACTATCGGATAATTGCTCACAGTGTTAAAAATATTTCTTGTAAAATTCCCGCGCTTATGAATCATTATGCTGCTGTACAGCCATAGGACCATACTAGGACGCAAGCCCCAGTTGTTCCCGACCAAACGACTGCACGTACCTAAGGCAATTTTTGCCTTATGGCATACATTGCTAAGGTGACCCAAGTACTTAACTTCCGTGGAAAATGGTACTTCTTTACCATTAAGTTTTGGTTGGACTAACTTGTCCAACTGTCTTTTTTTGGTAAAGGGTATTATAACAGTTTTATCAGCATTAACTGATAAACTGCTATCCCTACACCAGTTATTTATGGTTTTTAGGGCTCTTTGTATTATTAACGATAAAGTACTTTGGCAAAAGCCCCTCACAATGATCACAAGGTCATCAGCATAACCAAACCAAATATTACAATATTATATAACATCACTAATACTAAAACCATATTAAATTCATTTCAAAATTCCGGAATAATAATTACTAACGCGAAGAATATGACATGAAATCATATTTAGGACATGAAATTACTATGCACTTAATAAATCACAAATGATAGTAAACAGAGTTCCCGTTTCCCGCCAGGTTATGTTTCACGAAGTTGAAACTTCTTCTCTTGGCAATCGAGATTAAAGGGGAAGAGGGTGCAGATAGCAAGATTTCGATTAATCCACGCAACGCCAAGATCCATGCCAACACGCAAGGGTTTTTTATTGCGCAATCTGCTGATGAAGTAAAAAGGTAACTATTTTATCTGTCAACTTCAATGCATCCAAATATTACGGTTTTGGAGTTGGCGAATAATCCATCACTTTATTTAGACTTATGGGTCTGGTAATAAATTACTATATAGTCATAAGATCTTTTGGGCGTTTCCCTTAGTCACCTTTTACGGCACACACGGGATAAAATGGGGTGATGGGTTTTCTAACGCCGGCACCACATGAAATCCGCCGTAAATATTCAATGAAACGAAATAGGTAACAAACTGAAAATTATATATTTCAGTGGTCTTTTGATAGGCTGTGGTAATTTCGACGATGATGATTAAATTTTCTAATTATTTTTTTTTCAGAGCGTGGTATTATTGCAAGGCATGCCACGAAGATATTAAAGATGAAACACTCATCAAAAAGTGCAAATGCAAAAACTGTAAGATCATTGTATTATATCTAGTATATAAATAATGTATTATTAAATAATATATTTGCAGTAAATTTAAAATATTCTAAAGAATTACTAAATCTAAAGCGTAAAATTCTTCTGATATATAGTTAACTAATATTTCTGTGACATCCTTTCTGGAGAAAATCCTTTTAAAATCGCAACTTGTATTTTAAAACTGTCACAAGGTGTTACACATTTTTGTCTAAATAATTGTAATTATTTCAATTTGTCACTTACACTGTAGGTTTTGTCACAGTCAATAATAATAACCCACACTGTATTTTATCAATGATTCATTAACAAAATATTCGGCTAAAATTTTAGTGACCGCACACCAGCGGAAGGTTGGAGCCGACATAGGTAACTTGCACCACACCTAACCCTACAGATTGACGTTTTCCAATATTTTTTTCGTGTCTATATAATTTTTGAGTTGCTTTAGTGGTGTTGCGTCCGTACCACACAGACTGGATCGGTTGCAAGGCGTGCTCGTTCACATCCAATATTTAGCGATCATTGTGTATGTCCGCTCGTGAATGGATACTGTCACGACACGATAAAGCACTCTGACACTTCACCATTCCCTATGGCTTTTGAGAATCCTCCAGCTCTGTATTGTTCAGCATCGAGAGCGTTTAGTGCATCATACAATGTTATATAACACGACAAAATTAGGAATAACAAAAACTTACTCTCAAATTGGATCGCAATAAAATGTAGAATCTATTTCCGATCACAAAATCATAGATATAAATTGCTATGGTGCACTTCAAAGCCCAGCACAGGCAGCATATGCATGTATTTTGAATAAGTAGAATCGCAAATTGCAATATTGCACCTTCATTGTCCCAAGAACACTTAGATTGTCGAACGTTTTCCGTTACCCTCAATCCACGAAAGCATGTCTCAGAGGAGTCCAAATGAACAAACGCAATTGCTACAGTGGCCCCATGAAGAGTGAGCTTTAAGAAGAATTTGCTTATTAGAACAGTTCCAGCTTGTCTGTGCTAATGAGAGTGACTAACTCATGAGCAATCGAGAATCTGTCGCTTCACGTTCAATCATCGAAGGATCAAATAAAATTATATTGAAAATCTTTACCAATATTTTACTTGATCCTGTTTCGTTCAAATCGAGCTAAATCTTCCGGCCTCGCCAATCAGGATCATCCATTCGTGTGTGTCAGTTTTTGGATTTTTACAGATGTCGGAATGATGATGATGCAGTCCGGAATGGTGAAACAAAACCTTAATACATATCGAGATTGCACCGATGGTACGAACGGAACGCGTGCTATCTTTACGCCGTACTTCACAACACTACTTGTTTGCTAAACTAACCCACGCCCATGATAAAAAAATTGGGTTACAGTATACGCTAATTTACAATAAACGGTTCACGTAACTTGAAGTTCTTGCAGCGCTAAAACCTCACATCTGTGTTAACCTTGATATCGCTTACTCCATCATTACAGGACAAAATCGAATGCTGAATTTAAAAATATTACACTAGGATTTTATGATGCTTTGACTTTGATTACTGAAATGCTTATGAGCTTTAAATTGCTTTTTGTTACTTATGAAAAAGAAGTAATAGAGTCTATCAACGCCATTTAAATTAATGTGAGTTTTGGTAATCAAAAGTCGCATTATGTAGTCCTATGGCCATTTCGTACTTCCTATACAACAGATATTTCTCAGCTTTGCATCGCTGTCTGTATAAACGTCTGTGATTTGCGTTAAGTGTCGGGTCCACAACTACTAACGTCGATAATTAATATGCATTTTAATTTTAATTTTAATTAATATCTTTAAAAACGATTGTTTCTCGATTCAGTGGCTACATTCAGGAAAGGCGTACGAGCCGTCCAGATGGTTGGAAGGGCAAGTACGTAATAACTTTGAATTACGTTCAGTGTAAATGTTATTGTGTTGTTTATAAGCAAACGGTGAACGTGGTCACCACGCCCACCGATGAATTATAGCAGAATCGTGTCGTTATTATTGTCTTGTCTAAGTTATTCTATGTGCATTTATAAAACAGTTAGATGTTTCTATAGTAATTGTAAACACGGGAGACAAATTGTGATGTTATATTATTTTTGGTGTTGTCATTGTATTTTGATCGATTATATCACTATAGGTGTATTTTTATCTATTTAAGTCCTATACTGCATCGATAGAACTTCTGATATTGATGTTGTGAAATATGCTTTAAAATAACATTTTTCTAATTATTACGCCCTATTTAGGGAGCGTTTTATTAAAATAGATGACCCGCAATCGTTAGAAAAGTAAGGGATTTGCAGTGCCTTTCACTGCGTCCGTTCCCGTCGGTAATCATGGGATACTGACATGGTCTGTTTGTACGATTTCAAGAAGTCATATCCATTTAGCCCAGGTCATTTAGATACTAGCTAGCTTGAAGCCATCTAAATCACTTTTTTATATTTTCCTCTTCACCAGTAACATTAGCCTTAAATCATAATTAAATTAATCAATAGTTTATATTTTTGTCACTTTGTTAATAAAAACGTAATTTATATATGTTTTAATTCACTGCTTGACAATTAGATTTTAAATGGATGTTTTGTACGTTTTAGTGAATGTTGCATGTGAATGTAATGTGTCGTATTAAGTTTATTCCTATGTTTTAAAATATAATTAACTTATTTGTTATTCTTGTTAAATGTTTGTAATAAAATATTACGGTTTCACTATGTTTTTAAATTTCAAATTCCATAAACACGTTGCTTTGTTGTTGATTAGAGTTCATTATTTTTAGACAAACCAAACTTTACAGCACTATAAAGTCAACCTAAAAAAAATTTAACAACGAATTATTGTTGATTTTTTTTAATTTTGTCCTGTATGGTATCATTTCGAAATCGAACAGCAATGCGATAGTGTAATTCTGATGCCAATTGTGGTTGTCATTGTCTTAATATTTGACTTTGGTTACTTTGTGTTGTGTATATAAATGTTTTATATTGCGTTACAATTTGTTAACATTATGAAAAATCATAACACAGTTGCAAAATGATTTCCACCGGCTACGAGACCAGAGTTAAACCATCGCACTGCCTGTCTTTAGTATGCGAATTTTTCTAAATCAAACTATAAGTCATAAGTGAAACCGCAATAATATTTCTACATCAAACGATATATGACGTAAGACCTGTTACTGATTGGTCACGCGCTGTATATTTGCGATGTGTGTGTACTGTATAGGTATTATCAATCGAATGGTGTATCGGAATGCGAAATTGTGCTGATGTTTTGCAGATGACCACCATCCTCCCCCCACCTTCACGCCGCCAGAGTTGCCCAAGAAGGTCCATGTTCGAGGTACATCTCAGACTCAAGGACTGAGTGTTTTTTTTTTGTCTTTTTTTTTGTCATCGGCCCTCACATGATACAGCCCATCGTTGTGCTTTATCTATGAGTTACCGAAGAGTTGCACTTAGATGCTTTGACACGCCTTATCACACTGAGCACTTTAAGATTGGCAACTGTGCCTGTCAATCCAAAATTTCGCTTTCATCAAGCATGTTCCCGGCTAAAGATGTAGCATAAGTAATTTCATACTGTCGCTTAGCAAGCGAAATTGATATATCTTAACGAAATAGATATAAACAATTGACCCCATTAAAACCTTTTTCACAATGCAATAATACTACTATCACGGTCTTCTCACTCTTTTTCCCCAAAAATAAAAAACCAGATTCACGAAATAAGCTTCTTGGTTAACTCTAATGCGGACATGTTCATCATTTCTGGTTAGTATTCTTATGTTAAGCATTGTGGAAACTTCTCCTAGCATTGCATCTTCTGTGATATGCTGTATCTATCCTTGAATGCACTGTTTATTGAGCTTTTGTTGTAGAATTACCGAAGTAATCTTAACGCATACAATAACATACAAATATTCTATTGTTAACGCTATCGCAGCTTTTATTAAACTACTAAATATTGCTCTTCAGGTGAAGTAGCAAGAGAGAGAGGAGAAGATATGAGCTGTGAGTATAATATTTCATATATTACGCTATTACTTATTTATTATACCTACTCTTTTCGCAGTCTATCTCTTTCTGACATTGTAAGAGGATAATGCATTCGAAGCCTCGATTTATTGCGTTCAGAATGTTTATTGCCAACACGTGCTGGAGTAGCACGCTAACCTCATTGTTTTACAACTCTCTTAGGAATTGGAGGAGGCCTGTGGTCAGCAGTGGGGGGACGTATATAGATTGTCTATTTATATAATTATTGAGTTATTCCGTCAAAAAACTTTCAGTAGCTACCCGGAGTCAGGAAATTGGCGGTGTCTCACCCCCGTGCCTCGGAATGCACGTAAAGCCATTAGTCCTGCGCCGTCCCATGGGATTATGAGAGTGAGGAAATAGAGAGTGCACCTGTGCTTGCGCATACACTTGGGCACTATAAATCTGTCCTGCGCCGATGGCTAGTGTCCGTTGTGGCAGGCCGCCGTGACCGAAATTCGGTCTGGAGGACATTAATTTAATATTACAACAAAGTGGTCAAAATTGTGCTGCAAACCGAACTCCGCAAGACTGATTTCGTTTATTGTGAAGAATATTTAGGTCAGGTGTCATAGTCGGTTATTATCTTATTATCACCATGCTAATTTGCTCTTATTTTTACACTTTTCAAAAAGAGAATATTGTCGCGAATATTATTATTCATAAATTAAGTTATCTCTTTTGAACTTACACTCTTTTTATTGACATTTTAATTAATAATTCTAAGCCCGTTTTGAACTTATATACGTAGTGGAGCCACGCTGCAGCTATATTATGATTGTAGCATGAATGGGTCGGCTCGGCCGAGGTACCACGCCACGCTCTCACAGAATACCAGCCTAAAATAACAGCTCTATGCTGCTGTGTTTCGTATGGAGAGTGTGGAGAACCGGAGACTCCTTTTACTGGATACGAGGCATTCCATTGTAGCCCTCAGGGATGACAACGTATCTGCATTTTGATTGTTAATGGAGGATAAATTTAGATGTTTATGGGCCTATCACATACACATTCACTTGCCCTCGTAGTGATCGTTTGTCATCCTTATTCTATTTTTAAAAAAAATACTATTTTATTCTATTCACTAGGCTTACACGTCCATAAGCTTTCGCCTATGTAACTGTGTACAAAAACGATGATAATTATAAAGACGATGTAGAAACTGAAAAATATTCTGCCACTCTAAAAACTGTAAACTATTCTGGTATACAATGTAATCTAGCGTAAAATTACAATCCAAATTATTCAATTACGGTCAACAGTAATAAACCGGAACCACCGAAGCGCAGCGACAAACTCTCTGCTGTCACCGATGGCCAACCAGTTGGTGAACACAACCACTACACGGCAGGTCAACAAAGTCAAACCAAACGTCAATAGAGCACCCCCAGACACGTAAGTATAATGATAGTTAATAATATTAAGGTAATATAGCTATAAAAAAAAATAATGAGGGCCATACCAGGGCCAATCTGTGCCACCAGGGCCTCTTTTGATTGAGTTGAAATATTGAGCAGATTTCATAGCGGAGAAGTTACAATTGTTAGAAAAGCGTAAAAATGAACGATTTTTTTCTAAAACAAGAAGAAGAGATATAGTTGTAGCAAGAATGATTTGGCTCGACCGGGGAAGGATCACTCTCTCACGGAATACCAGCGTAAAAAAGCAGCTTAATTCTACTGTGTTTTGTATGGTGAGTGTAGAGAACCGGAGATCCTTTTTACTGGAAACGTGGAATTTCATCTTAGTCCTCACCGGTGACAACGCGTCTGCATTTTGATTCGTAATCAAGGATAGATGTAAATGTCTATGGGCCACAGAAGCCACTTACCATCAGGTGAACTGTGTGCTCGTTTGTCCTATAAAAAAAATTAAAAAGGGATGAAATATGTAAAAAAAAATAAGGAACACACCACTGAGGAATTGTTTCGTTTGTGTAGCCTTTTTAAACACACAACTTATTAATGATGACGTCACAGTAGCCATGACAAATAAGTTACCAACTAGCGACATCTGGTGAGGGTAAAATTATTAGCCCTCTTAGACGTAGAACCACAGAAATCGTAATAATAAGATAATAGAAATGAATTAGTACTCGATTACTTCCAAAACCGATGTCGCCACATTTTAAAACATACGCATTAAGCGACCGATGGCTGCAGCCATATTATAAACATACGCAATGCACAATGATATCTTATGTTTCACATTACATTGCTTGGCGAGTTTGTCACGTCGCGTGCATCGCATATTACGATGGAACGAAAACAGCAACGTTAATTGTACAATACGAAATGTAATAAGTGAAAGTTCACAAAGGTAAATATCATAGTAAAGTATTCATCTAGATGTAAATTAGTTAAAACAATGATAATTAGTAAATAATCAACCTACCGATGAAATCTCATGCCTTTATTAGTTGAATTACAGGTCCTTGATAAGTTTTTACAACTGATTATGCTGCAGTTCACCATTATAATAACTTAAATTTACGTACGACGTTCTTCGCGCAACTATTTCACAAAATGGTTAATAATGTTCGTCAACACATCATAGCGGCGACAAGGTCACGCGTCTATGCGACTTCTATTGTCTATTATTATTTATTACGATTTCTGTGCGTAGGACTGTTTTCAGTCTGGATTCACAAAAATTTAAAAGGCTGAAAAAGAACAAAAGGAACACTACTTATCAAAATAGATTCATAGAAGCGTCCTTCAACATAATTTATTTTAAAAATACACGCTCCATAAACAGTAAACGGTAAAAGTATTAAGAAATACTATAACTTATATCCACCTCTGAAATTTTCTTTAAAATAATAATCTTATAAAATTTCATCGAATATAATGTATAAAACATTATAATATTTCGTATTGATAAAGTAATAACTTTGGCCCTCAAAATTTGTACAGTATTGTTTTAAATTATTCTTTTTTTCATAAATTGTTCAAAATAATCAATGTTAGTTATCCGGTAAGATATAGTTGTTTTCTTTCAATATTCCGAAAAACATTGTTTATTATTATTAATTATGAGTATAATATATGTATTTTAAAGAATTTATTTTTAACTGCATTGTATAAGTAAATAAATTATTATAATTTCAATGAATCTATATATGTAAATAATGTTGCTAAATCTTTAATAATATTTAAGTAAAGGAAATATATCTATTTTATTAAACATTAAAATATGTATAAAGAACAGATAATTATATACAATACACAAGTATATCACATTATTTCTCTGATTATTATAATTTATCTATCGCTGCTTTATACTGTCCTTCAATCTTTTGCTGTAACTAAGTTCTTTTCATGCACAGTGTGCACGGCACTATAATAAAAATCAGTTTATTTGTCTGTGTAACTTTAGCATTAATTGTATGATCTATCACAGCCTGCAAATCCTTGAAAGCAATAGAGTCGATTCTCTGACCCTGTGTTCCAGGAATCCGCCAGATCAAGATACGAATTACCAGGCCTATCATCTTGCCTACGAAGTGAAAAAGCTAATGTAATTCCATTAAACAATATATCAGCTAGATATTTTATATTATCTGTAGATTAAAAATATTGGTTAATTGCAATGAAAATGTAAAAATTTTGTTTATTATCATATAATGTAGACAGTAGAGATGCTTGCTTCACGTATTATTAGATAATTTCAACGATAACTTTTAAATCTAGCTTTACCTAATAAGCTTATGTTTATTTTGCACTAAAAGTAAGCACGGCATTTTATACTAGTGGATTGAAGCATGTTTTAGTCTGTGGTATCGCAGATATTCATATAATTCCCACATTTTTACTCTTTTTAATAAGGTTTTTTTTAACGAGAGACACCATATTTTTCAGAATACACATGCACCGACTAGGTACATAACTTTATCAGTTAAAAATCTATACTTAATGCAGTTATTTCAAGATACACATATTATTGATTTAAATAGTTTATTAATTACGCTGCGTTATTTTATTTAATAGCAAATTATTTGGATAAAAATCACTTTTTGAAAAAGGTGGCAAAATTTTATTGAACACTCCGTGTTGAATTATGTTCTATGGACCATTGATCTAACAAATAGACCATAATATATTTTCACACCTTAATATATTACTTTTATATTTACGATAAAAAATGTTTATTGACTAATGGCTACCTAAATAATGTTCACAAAATATCTTTCACAGTATGCAAATATTCAGCAATGAGTTTGAATTAAGGAACTAGATATGATATAATATAATATATAAATTGGTTTTATAAGTTCTGTACAGAACAATCACTCTCCTAGCGAAAATCACCAGCGCATTATATATCTTCTTATTTATTTTGTCCTTTATTCACCTCGCATGTCAAAATTTAGTCGAGTAAATATTTTTTCATCATAAGCGATTCTTATGTTTCAAATGAAAATTAAAGTTTAAATGAAATAAACCAACCACTAGACCTGTAAAATTTAGTAATAAAAGCTAAAAGGAAGTTTCACTCTGCAATTTTTTTCCTTTTGCATTTTCTAGGCCAACGAGTCGGAGTAGTGGTGGGAATCAAAATAGCAATGGCGTAAGTCTACCAGCGGGCCTGGCAGACGACCAGTCGAAAGATTTCGACTTTGAAAAGACTGAAATGAAATATGACTCCACAGGGATGTTTCATTGGAGTCCCGCAAGAAATTTGGAGGATTGTATATTAGTACGCATCCCTATTTTCCTATGTTGTGCTATATACTTACGCATTTTTATTTAAAAATCTGTCCAAAACACATTTTTATTATTACAGGACAGAAATCAAGCGGCCATGACAGTTTTAAATGGCCACGTGGTAGTTTGTCTGTTCGCGGATCCTGATTCCCCGCTGATAGGACTGAGGAATCTAGTGATGCCGCTCAGAGCCTCCAATTTCCACTATCATGAGCTAAAGCACGTCGTCATCGTTGGTAGCGTCGACTATATTAGAAGAGAATGGAAGATGTTGCAGAATCTACCAAAGATTTCTGTTTTAAATGTGAGTAATTTTAAATAACGTGGCACCATTTGGGTTTTTTTTATATTGGCAAAGACGAATAGTACTTGTGTACTAAAGACAAAACATTTCTAATGGATTCTAAAAAAACATACTGGCTATTAAATCAATAATTTAAAAAATAACTTATAAGACTATTCACACCTTTAGTACGCAACGACTGCCTCGTTGGTCTAGTGGTTGTAGTAGTGGGACTGCTGATCATGAGGTCCTGGGTTCAAATCCCGAGTCGGGCCAATAAATTAATTATTGAGTTTTTCTGTCAAGAAATTCTCAGTAGCTGTCACGGAGTCATGTAGTTGGCGGTGTCTCACCCCCGTGCCTCGGAAAGCATATAAAGCCGTTGGTCCTGCGTCTGATCTCTCTCCGGTCGTGTCGGTTTACCGTCCCATCGGATTATGAGAGTGAGGGAATAGAGAGCGCACCTGTGCTTGCGCATACACTTGGGCACTATAATCCTGTCCTGCGCCGATGGCTAGCCTCCGTTGAGGCAGGCCACCGTGGCCGAAATTTGGTCTGGAGGACATTATTATTATTACGAAAATTTAAAAACATACTTTTTTATGTATGTCTCTAAAAAAAGACAAACTATCCATTGCAGGGTTCACCGCTAAGCCGGGCCGACCTGCGTGCAGTGAACGTAAACCTTTGCGACATGTGCTGCATCCTGTCAGCAAAGGTGCCGTCCAACGACGACCCGACGCTGGCCGACAAGGAGGCTATCTTGGCTTCGTTGAACATTAAGGCGATGACGTTCGACGACACGATCGGCGTGCTGAGCGCGGGCAACGGCGCGCCGCCGCCCGCTGCGCCAGCGCCTGCTGCGCCCGTGCTGCTGCAGCGCCGCGGTTCCGTCTACGGCGCCAACGTGCCCATGATCACCGGTAACATCTAATTTGTCTTATACCCTTATACTCAAACGTTGATCATTTTTAAGATATCGTTAAGTCTAATGGTGTCACAGTTACTTTGACAGCTGATGATGGTATACTTGATGGCTCTTTTTCTTGTTTTCGAGTTGTGTATGAATTGAAGACTTATATGTATACTACGAGACCGACAGTTCAAAACGAAAACTGTGTCGCAGCTACGGATCGCGGCTAGACGGGTAGCTGGTGCGGTAAATATGCCACGCAGTTATATTTTCATTTCCAACAGTTTAGTTTATACTTATCTAAAATAAACTTAAAATCACGTTCACATAGTACGCACATAAATAATAAAGTGTTTTCTTAGTCACATTAAACAAAATCTGTGTTAGATTGTCGAAACAACGTTTGCGGTTTACAAAACAAAGAACTAGTCTTCTCGCCGGCTGACTATCGATTAAAGAAGTTACAGAGAATTGACCGTAACTTAATGCGCAATGTATTAGTACTGTGGTGCCCATCTAGTAGTATACATAGAAATCTTTGGTTTGATCCCGTAAAAATTGGTTGACAGTGGAGCCATAGACCAGATTTATTGGACTCTTGCCGTGTAGCGGTCGGCGCTGATAGGGCCCCGGAAGTATACGAAAAAGTTCTTGTGGCCTTGTTAATATGCGGCAAAGTTAAAACACCATGGGAACAAACCTACGCGTATCTGAAGTGTAGCCCACGTGACACATACATAATATTATAGTATCAAAATTTCTTATAATATCATTTTAATTATAAGTATTTAATAAAACCACCTAATTATATTATATTTTATAAATAACGGGCTTCCTTAATTGTCTTTTTATTTTATTTTTTTACTATTTCCTGTCGGAGATTTAGTGTAGCCAGTTTGTTTTATTTACGAACTATTCGATTTCTCAGCCTCTTATTATGTACTATAGAATTACCGAAGTATTAGCAATGTAATTTTTTTAATCGACAGTCCTCGACTAAGGGTTCGGTGAACAGCACACGTGCCTCTGAGTAATTCGTGAAACCTTGTTAACTAAACTGTGACACAATATCTGTGTAGTTTTAACTTTATATCTCTTTAAAAATGTGACTCTCTGTTACAGAACTAGTGAATGACAGCAACGTGCAGTTCCTGGATCAGGATGATGATGACGACCCAGACACCGAGCTGTATCTAACGCAGCCTTTTGCCTGCGGAACTGCTTTTGCTGTCAGCGTGCTCGACTCCCTCATGTCTACTGTAAGTAGAACATTATTATCATCATCTATTTAATATCCACAGCTTTGGTACTAGTTGTACGAAGACGTATTTCTTGAATAAAATACTCATTAATACCACTCGGCAGGATGCGAGCACATGGTTGGTATTAACAAGTGATAAAATTAAAATATTTATACAATTGACTTGGATATAGTATTATAAATAAAATGAGAACATCATCAATGTAGTCGAAGAGAATTAAATATGCATTATTAAGGATAACTCAAAAACTACTGGTCAGCTCTTGATCAAAATTATGTGGGACCACATGAGAAGCTTTTAAGCTTTAAGCCACACTTTCAAATAAAAAAAGAATCATCAAAATCAGTTCACCTACAAAAAAATTCTAAGGTAACACTCATAAAATACAGTAAAATTGAGAACCTCGACCTGTTTGAAGTCGGTTGAAAAAAATTATGAATTGCATCTTCCCACGCTCTTTGGATATTTAAACCGATACGAAAAGCTCAAACACGAACCAGTGCTAAGCACAGGCTTCCTCGCAACGTAGAAAAAGTGACACACTAGCGTACAGTCCATCTGATCAGCCCATAAACACCTGCACCATGGACGATACACAGATACAGATGCGCTTTCACTGAGAAGTAAAAACGAACGCGGCACAGCCCTATTATAATTATAGGGCTGTGACGCATTCGTTTTTACTATATAATTACACTGGAACACAATACCACCACAGCACAACAATGCTGCTTGTCAGCAGGAATATATGTGAGAGGGTACCCAGGCGGACTGCTGGGTTGATAAGAAATATTACCATCTACCAGGAATGGCATAATTTAATTCCTCCCTCTCCCTTCCACCATCGGACAACCAGACGTTCGGCCAGTCTGCACCTTTTCGTTGTTGACTTACCACGCATTCGAACCAAACGGTTTGCTACGTCGTTCGTCATGCGTCAAGGAGTGGAATAAGTTGCCAGCATCTGTCTTTCCGTCCGATTACAATGTTAAGTCAGTTCGCTTTACCATCTTAAGCTACATCACCATACCATCAGGTGGGACTGTAGCTAAATGCTGACTTAGAAAAGTTTAAAAAAAAACCTAGTAGTTGTTGTAGTGTTAAGCAACTGCACGCCTTATTCACTGGCAGTGGGATAAAATGAATGCAAATTAACGTACGTCTACGTTACTACGTAGACAACTCTACTGAAGAGACGCCGTGACTTGGTTGTTTGTTATACGCGTTAGAATCCGCGAGCTTAAACTTACTTAGGGCCGGTTGTTTCATGACTGCATTACGTACCAATTAAAAATGTCGTTAATGATGGTTATAATTTTATATATTTCGTGTTTAAAATAAAATAGACGTCGTTTCACGCCATGTCATTCTTTACTTACATCAAAATTTAAATACAACCAAAAGTATATAATCACTTCTATAACCTCAATCGTTGCTCAGACCACTGGTTAATAGCATTTTGTTATTTATTTATTTTATATATTTAGAGAACTGGAGACCTTTTTTACTGAAAACGAGGCATTCCATCTTAGTCCTCAGGAGTGACAATGCATCTGCGTATTGATTCTTAATCTCTACATATAAAACTCTCTGTTAGTGTGGCAAAAACACGAAAATGGCTCAACCGATTTTGATAGTTTTTTTGTCTGTGTATTTAAATGGGTAGATGGTTTACAAACTCAGTTGCGCCTGGTAGGCTGTTGGCGAGATCCAGAAATCACGCGTGCAAACCGGAAGCGGGTCGCTAGTCGAGGATAAATGTAGATGTCTATAGGCCACATAAACTTACCATCACGTGGAAAGTGCGGTCGTTTGTCATCTTTATTCCATAAAAAAAAGAAGTACTGTCTCTATGTTTAGCCCCGGTTCGAATTTGGGATCGGACCCAAAAATAGTTTATTGATTTTTTCCGTAGTAGCAGCCCGCAGTCTAGATGTTAGCAATGGTTTACCTCCGTGCCTCGGCAAGCACGTAAGCCATTGCTCCTGCGCCGTATCATTCCCCAGCAGTATCAGATTTCTGTTCCATCGGACTATGAGACTGAGGGAATAAAGAGTACATCTGTGCATGCGTTTACACTCAGGCACTAGTTGCTTCTCCGTTAGGACTATATAATTCTATCCTGCGCAGATGACTAGTCTTTGTTGAGGCGGGCTGCCGTGGAGGTCATTACTACACATTACATATTACTTTAATTTTAAAAAGTTCTTATAGTGGCTGTATAAGAATATCCACCGTACCGTACCAGGCGACAGAGAGTAACTGTAACAAGGCAGCATCTTTCTGTTGTCAAGCCAAAATAATTTAAAAAAAAAACTGCGATTGCCAACCCATGCCAAATCATATGAGGCAGTATATGGGGAGACTTATGTTCAGCAGTGGAGTCTTGTAGGTTGTAATAGATAAATGAATTGATTGTAAAAAGTTTCTATGGTTGTGTCCCAGACATACTTCAACCAGAACGCGTTGACGCTGATCCGGTCGCTGATCACGGGCGGCGCCACTCCCGAGCTGGAGCTGATCCTGGCGGAGGGTGCGGGACTGCGCGGCGGCTACTCCACGCCCGAGAGTTTGGCCAACAGGTACTGCATGACACCGTGCTGCCCACGCACTTAACACACTTAACTTAGTGCCTTAAATGCTTTATTTTATTTATTTATTTACTTCAGGCAATAAAGTCCCATATAAATTATTATAAACATACATGGATACAGTCTTTGTATATAAAAATTACGTGTGACATTGCTTGTCTGCGATGAACTCATACGCTACTGAACTGAGTTCAATGAAATTGTGCAATGCACACTGTGTGCAATTTTATCCCGATACCCCCAATATTTTTTATTGCGTGTTTAAAAATTGTTTTTATAAGAAGAATCATCGGAAAGGCGAGAACAACGTCTGCCTAGCCAGCTAGTTATTTATATATATATAAAGGAAATCAAAATGTAGGATTATTGTGGAAAACATTATCACTTCATAAAATCATGAAATACACAGATCACAACAAGTGCACCGTGCCACGCCAGTGCCAAGACTGCTTTAACGGCGGCCGCTCCGTCCGTAGTAGTAGTAGCTGCACGAGCGCCACAGCAGGTGCGATGCGCAGGTGTGCCGTGCACCTGTTGTTTACAATAATTCCAACTAGTCACAGACACGCTGCTGCACGTGCAACGGCGCAGGTGCCGATATATATATATATATATATATATATATATATATATACAACATGTAACATAATTAACGCACTTTGAGAAAGTAGTTTGTTCAGAATCGTTTACTGAATCGATTCCTATAATTTTTAATATAGGTAATTTTTTATCCCAAAAATAATTAAAACTACGTAAATTACAGTCACATTAAATCTGTACAGTCAAAACAAACTGAAGTGGACCCTAACATAAGGCAATAAGACTTTTAAGAGTGCAGTTTTATTTGTATTATTACTAATTCTGTCATTCAATAAAAATAAAGAAAAATGAACTTTATTTCAAGCACATTAAAGTCTTTGCGTTCGTGGATTTGTACTGTGACCACAACATTCTTCCGGATTTAGTATAACTAATTTGATAAATAATCGGTGCATAAAAATGTTTAACTAAAAATTCAGTGTATGTATTATGATTATAACATAATATACTAATTGGGGTGTCTGAGGGTGTGCGTTAATTACGTTACATATTGTATATATATATATATATATATATATTAGAGATGAAACGGATATCCGGTAGCTATCCGGTATTCGGCCTATCCGGCCAAAAATTACTATCCGGCCGGATACCGGATAACAAACAGCTATCCGGCCTGATACCGGATTTAAAAAAACACAAAAATATCAAATGTAATTAAGTATTCCATTTATGAGTTATGACTTATGTCACTTAACAAATATAATCACTATAGTTCATAAAAGATAGCTTAATAAAATAGCTTAACTTTAATCAGTCACTCGCTAGGCGCTTCTAGAGTTGTCACGTGTTGTGTTGATTTAAAAAAAATCTCTTGATAAAATATGCCGTTGTGTACTTAGATATTGCACAAATAATTCAAGAAATGTCAGTAAAAACCAAGTAATTACTTTTCATCGGTTAACAAGATACTTAATAAAAAAAAAGTATTATAGATAATAATAAAACAAATTATTCCTAGTACGCCATTTCGTGTCATGTATGTTCAGATGCGACATTTCTGTGGGTACTTAAGTATAGGACGAATATATTATTATAAGCATATTTTTTGTAGAAACATATAATAGTTATTATAATTAGGCTAAATTTTTCATGTTTAAATCTGCTTAAATCTGTTTAAATCTGCTCATTATTCTTTTATTTTATTTTTAAGTTTCCACATCAAAGTCAAAGTGGAATAAATTCGTCCATTTTTAACTATCGCATGCCCAGCATTTTTATGAACGACTCTTATTCTAATTTAAATAAATATATTTGTAATTTAAATGTTATGTTAATAAGTTTTGTTAAACATACATTTATATGTTTTTTTTTATATTTGACATAGATACCTTTTAAAATATTCAGAAAAAAATATCACTAAAATGTAATTGTGATATAATATTATGCAATATTATATTAAATAAGCAAATATAATACACAAAATAAATGACAAAGTTTAAATATCGTTCTCTATATCTATAATTAACCTATTTAACAATACAATACTACTATTACCTACTAATCATTCTACCTATGTTTATTCTATGATAAAAAACAACCGCGCGAACTCAGAGTAGCGCACATTTTTTGTTTGAGATAGCTGTTCCAGTACGTAAGTACATATTACTTCAACGTTTAAAACTTACAAACTTAGTAATCGTACTGCTCTAAGGCACAATAAATAAATAATAGTACCACGTGGTACTATTATTTATTTATTGTGCCTTATTACTATTTGTTCACCATAATTTGCCCTTAGCTACATAGCTAAGGGCAAATTATGGTGAACAAATAGTAATTTCTCAGCATAGAAAGGTAACAAGCGGTTTCGTCTGTCTTCATAAACAAGGCCAGCTTCAGAAAAAGTCTTTCGCTGTATACACTGCTGCAGGATACTGAAAGATAGATTTTGGCAAACTTTGATAAATTTGGGTATTGTGTTCATCTCTAATATATATAATATATATATATATATATATATATATATATATATACTGGATATGAAAGCAATATCGTTCTCGATGTTGATGGTATTTCCCTAATCCATTTAAACTAAAGTGACAATTAAGATAGCAAGTGATACTGACCACTGGGCGACCACTGTTATCTATAAATAAGTGGCGGCATTTACTGTGCAACCACCATTCGATAAACACTTGTAGCATTTACAGTGGTTTTATATAATGATAATTGAAGTATGCCTCATTGGTCGTTGGTCTAGTGATCGTAGACGTGACTGTTGATCATATGGTTTCGGTTTCTAATCCTGGTTAGGGCCAATATCAATAATTGGATTTATCTTTCAAGAAATTGTTAATTGCATGATGCTCGGAAAGCACCTAAAGCCGTTGATTCTTCGCCTTATTTCTTTCCGGACGTGTTGGGCTACCGTCCCATCGATCTAATGACACAGATTAGATAAGTAATAATAATAATGTCCTCCAGACCGAATTCCGGCCACGGCGACCTGCCTCAACGGAGGCTAGCCATCGGCGCAGGACAGGATTATAGTGCCCAAGTGTATGCGCACGCAAAGGGGCACTCTCTATTCCCTCACTCTCATAATCCGACGGGACGGTAAGCCGACACGACCGGAGAGAGATAAGGTGCAGGACCAACGGCTTTACGTGCTTTCCGAGGCATGGGGGTGAGACACCGCCAACTTCCTGACTCCGGGCAACTGCTGAGAATTTCTTGACGGAAAAACTCAATAATAAATTTTTAGCCCGACTCAGGATTCGAACCCAAGACCTCATGATCAGCAGTCGCACTACTACAACCACTAGACCAACGAGGCAATCTTACGAGCAGATTAGATAAATAACTGCGTTACTAATGACACCGATTAGTACTATAATCCTGTGTACTCGTGTATTACAATCCAGTACTGCCCATATGGCCGGTTCTGTTAAGATTGGCCGCCGTGACAGATATGCATCATGGAGGGCATCATTATTATTCATTGAAGTCAGTTTTCATTTTTATAACACACACTTATAGTGCCATGCCACAGGTATGTTATAGTTGTAGCACGTACGGGACGGTTCGGCCGGGGTACTTACAGAACACCAGCGTAAAATACCAGCAAAATTGCTTTATTACCTGCTGTGTTTCGTACGGTAAGTGTAGAGATCCTTTTTACTGGAATCGAGGCATTCCATCTTAGTCATCAGAGGTGACAACCCATCTGAATTTTTATTCTTTAATAAATATGTAGATAGCTATGGGCCACAGCAATCACGTACCGTAGGTAGTAGGTAGACTGTATGCTCGTCTTCCACCCTTACTCTATAAAGAAAAACGACCCGGCGCTACTGCAACACCAGAGGAGTTTAGATGCGTTGCCAGCCTTTTATAAAAGATTAGGCTCTTTTTCTTTATTGTTTTTTCTTTTTAATTTAGTGCTTTCGGCTTCGTGTGAAGTCGCTTTAATTAAAATAAAGCGGTAACAGTTTAGTTTGCGAGCGTTGTTTTGTGCCGCAGGGACCGGTGCCGCGTGGGGCAGATCTCGCTGTACGACGGGCCGCTGGCGCAGTTCGGCGAGGCGGGCAAATACGGCGACCTGTTCGTGGCGGCGCTGCGCACATACGGCATGCTGTGCATCGGCCTCTACCGCTTCCGCGACACCTCCTCCTCGTGCGACGCCAGCAGCAAGCGCTACGTCATCACCAACCCGCCCGACGACTTCTGCCTGCTGCCCACCGACCAGGTCGCGAACACTACGCTACTTTACTGAAATGAAACTTTGTAATAACGCAGACAGATTAAAAGTTATATCAGACGCCTCTTCGCAATCATCACATCGTTACAGGTCCCTTTACAAGTCCACGGTCGAACATAGGTCTCATTTCATCAACTTCTTGCATCTTTACTTCATGTAGTGGAAAATTAAGAGGTCGTTCAATATTACTATAGCTTCTGATCCCTTGGACTATGTTTAATAATCTAGCTGTGATTAATCTTAAGAGTCGACTAAATGAAGTATTCTTGAAATCTAAGTTATTTGGAGTCGATACAATATGCTCTGTTCTTCCATTCTCCTCTATTTGCTATCATCTCCTCACGCAATTCTTATGCGTATCATCTTATTGCCTGGAAGAGATTGCTGTATGGCAATAAGACCGCCATGTTTTTCTCTTAATATTTATTTACTTTTGTCATTTTATCCCTTGGTGTGCAATAAAGAGTATTGATTGATTAATTGATTGAACATCTATCCCTATTTTTAGGCATCCCTCTAATATAATCCTGAACATTAAGGCAATGACTAAAAATCGGCAGGAGTTTCATCATAAACGTAAACAAGACAGTTGTTACGCTGCGCCACCTAACGTAGGCCACAAGTTCTTCTAACTCTTAGTCACTGCTTACATCACCAACCAAATGAGATCGAGACATGGATTTTCTGCATTATCTTGTACACCTGTTTGTCGTCGTAGAGTTACGCTGCAGCTATATTATGGTTGTAGCACGAATGTGTCGGCTCGACCGGGGAAGGACCACGCTCTCACAGAATACCAGCGTAATATAGCAGCTCAATGCTTGTGGGACGAAAGGAAAACACTCATCAGGGAGAGGGTGCCAACACAGAACAGCGCGGCGGGGGAATAGGCCCCAACCCAAAATTCTGTCGTGTTTGTATTTCATATGATGTGAATAGAGAACGGCTTTTTACTGAATACTAATGAGGCTTTCTAACTTAGTCCTCAGAGGTCAAATCGCTTCTTAATTTTGATTCTTTATCAACAGATGCAGGTGTCTATAGCCCTCTGCACCCACTTACCATCAGGTGGACTGTGTGTTTTGTGTGCACTTTTCACCCTTCTTGGTTGTTTCTAGCGACAGCCGACCGCGCGGCATTACTTCTCTATAAAGAAGGCCATTTTAACGCGCGGTCCTTACGCAGTATGACAATGCGAAATTACAAAGACTTCTATGTATACTGGCGGACCGATAATGCAGAACAAAATTGTGTCACTGCAGTGAATAACGCAGCTGCGGGATTAGCGGGTTGCTGGCACGGTGAATATGCCACGCAATCATATTTTCATGTACGACAGTTACTGTTCTTAGACAAATACGAAATAACGCGACACGCTTATTTAAAATAAGTTTCCAATCACGTTGACCACGTCTGCACATAAACAATGACAGCGTTTTTTAATTACATTAAACAAAATCACTGTTAGATTGTCAAAAATGACGTTTGCGGGTTACAAAACCAATAACTAGTCTTCTAGCTTGCTCGCAGTCGACTTATAAAGTTGCAGTGAATTGATCGTAACTTAGTGCGTAACGTATTAGTACCATAGTGCTCGTCTAATAGTACATAGAAGTCTTTGATGGCAACATTTTAACACGCGATCCGTCCCGTGCATACGCAGTAATGACACTGCGTATGTGATACCGTTCGCAGTAGACTAAAATAGCTACGGAGAATTGACTGTAACTTAGTGCGCAATGTATTAGAACCGCAGTTCCCGTCTAGGAGTATGCATAGGAGTCTTTGGAATGCTATAAGTGTATGTTATGGTGCAAGTGTTCGTGCTGATGCAGTTCGAACCTACTACCACAGTGCCCGTCTAATAGTATATATAGACGTATTTGGAATGTTAAAAAACGTGTAAGGCGTGATGCAGGTGTTCGTTCTGATGCAATTCGACCCTATAACCGCAGTGCTCGCCTAGTAGTATACATAGGAGTTTTTGGAATGTTATAAGTGTATGTTGTGGCGCAGGTGTTCGTGCTGATGCAGTTCGACCCTGGCGTGGAGTACCGCGCCAGCCGCCGCGCCGGCGCCGCGCCCGCCAAGGACGATGCCTCCTGACTATTGCTGTGCAGCGCCCTCACCGACGGGCCCTACTCCTACATCTAGGCGGGCCCGCCGCCGCCACACCGACAACCCTGCCCCACACCCCCACCACACCCCGCTCTACACACCCTTCATACTACTTCAAATCCTTCTCTCCGTTTTCCATAGTAGGTTAAATACTCAAACGCTACTTAATTTTAAGATGTCTTTACGTCTCCTAGTGTCACAGTCACTTTGACGTAAAGTGGTAGAGACAGCGCGAGACTTAACGGCGTCTTAAAATTTAACAGCGTTCGAGTATTGAGACATAAGTCGGTCGAATCGTTTGCGTAAATCGTTCAGCAGTCAATTCACTCACTCGACTAATCAAAATCGGTGTATGAGAATCCTAATATGAAACTCATCAATAATTGGTTTCTCAAAGACTTAATGAGTTATAAGGTCAGTTCAGCATGAAAACGGTGTTGTGTCATCTATTGACTCCGAACTTAATTCAACTGAAATCTGACTTTCAGTTCTCAAAATTGTACCTAATTTTTTTTGAAACTCCAGAAATTGAAAGAATCAGAAATTGAAGAAATTGAAATCAAAAGTTTCTTCAATTTTAACCTTTAACCAGATTTTCCATTGAAAATTAAATTTACAATTCATCGTAATTTTTTCCATTATATAGGTATTTTTTTTAGTTGCGGTAGCGAGAACTTGAATGTTTTTACGCTAGTTTAGAATTACATCAATCGCAATGAATGATGGTAAGATGACCTTTGAACGAAAGATGATCTTACTTTCACGGTTTTAATTCGTACTGAACTGACCGAAGTTGATAACAAAGAACTGTTGAATAAAAACGCGTTCTCAGAATAATCAGTTCATCTGAACGACTCGAGAGTAAAAAAACCTACTCAATATGTAGATAATAAATCCCTCCTACACCTTAAACCATACAAACACTTTTTTTATAATTTTCGTTCGTTTTACCCTAAAGTTATTTTTACAACTGGACACTGCACCGCTATTCACATTTTCCGAACGCACGGCTCTCTGTTAGAAGACTACAATCTGATAATAGTCTCACTTTGACATTGACTTACAAACAAAACAATGGTACGGAAATTAAAAACAAGAAGGAATCCTGTCGGTACATGGAACTGTACAAGACACGAACCCGATGGATATATACAGGTTGTTCTAAACTTGAAACATATAGATGTTTAGGAAAGCTTTCGATGTTTCAATATATTTAGAGGTGCCAAGCCAATAACGGTAACTTAGTGCTATCAATTATCAAGTATTTATCAACCTGTATGTATCGTTAGGATTCCATGCACATTGCACAGTTTAGAATCCATGCGCTAAGGCTAGGCTTTACTTTCGAAAGATTGAAATAAATGTGGTCCTAAATTAACTTTAATTATTTCCGTCTTATATAATGAAGTGAACCTTTAAAACTTTTAATTGCAGGATCTATATAATATAATAGCGAAACATATGTTAAGGTATTGCATATCGATTATTACTTTTTTTAAATCGTCCATTCCTTAAGCTGTAGAATATTCGCGATTCATGGTTAAGGACTTTTTGAAATTTAAATTTTAGAACTTATTATAAGCATTTAAATACTCATCGACTGATTGATGTATATTTAAAAAAAATCATACATCTTCACATAAGCATATTGTGATTAATTTAATTGACATTGTGTTTAAGTTTCACTCTAGCTTTCTTTTTCATTTATAGATATTAAGACTTCTCTACTTTCAATTCACTACAATTATATTGCACGATACGGTAGTGGTCTGCATACGGTTCCATTGCTCATGGTGTTGGTTATTGTTAGTTTTTATACATATATATACATATTAAGTCTCTGTTGCATAGGATAGATCAACTGTAGTAGATGCGAATTTTCTGTGCAGGTCTGAACTCAGCGCTTTCTGCTAAATCTGTCTATCTATCTATCTCTGCACACAAAATGTCAGCTATTACCGTTCTTTTTTATTTACATTGATCTTCACCTCTTTAGTACTTTTATTTTTAAATAAATATTATTTTTTGTTTTTATTTGAGTTTTTTTTACACATTTTCCTAACGTTGGACGGGGTATTGTCAAAGTGGACGTGATTAATGGCGCTGCACAATAAAAAGACTAAGAACTGAAATGAATATTGATATTTGAAGATAATATATTGCACTGCAAATATGACATGCAATCATTAGGAGGAACGCTATGTGCAAAGTGTAATTTTGCTGTAAATGTGTGATATTATTTTCGAAACGTCGTTGTTATTAAAATATATACATACGGCTTCTAAAGCCTGCAATGTATTTAGTGTTAACTCCGGGTGCTTTGACGATTGTGGACTCTTCATAATTTATTCATTGTATTAGATAAGACGAAACTGTAATTGACTGCACGAGATGAAGCAATTTTACTTCGGATGCGTACATCGACAACTACACGCAGTTAATTATGGTAGCGTTTTTAGAATTTACTAGATATTAGTCATTCACATCATCATGATTAGTTTCATAAATAGTGAAATTCTACTTTTAGAAGTTCGAACGTATCGCAATAATTACATTACTAAAAGCTAATTTACAAGATGTTTGATGAACACCAAAAGCCTTTAAGTCATTAAAGTTGGAGGATCATGGTGAATCACATATAAACACGCTAAGTAGTAATTATACGAAATTATAAAAATACCTCAATTATTTGACATATGTTAGGTATAAATATTTTTTTAATGCTAAAACACCACATTTTTTCAAACAACCTGTATATAATAAATATTCATGTCACTTAGAAAATCATACAATCGTTCCAATAGAATAGGCAAATCCACTCTGAAATAATTGGTTAATGTGGGGACATTTTTTTTTTGAGTTTTGAATCGAGTGTGTGAATAAAGTTGCATTTTGGTCCAAAATGGAAAAAAATACTGCAAGTAGTTTGTAAAGGAATTGAATGCAAACATACTGCCATATTTTTGTAAAATCGCCTACGTAGTCCGTAAAAGAAAATCACCCACAAAAAGTACAAAAATTGAGGCTCAGGGGTTATTTTACATGGTCACAAATATAAAAACACTAAATGTTTTGCTTATAGTACTTATCTGTCAGTTTCACGGAAATAGTACTAAAACTACTATAATAAAAAATGTCATTTTTGTTTGTTTTATCATAAAATAACTAATTTATATATAAACAAACCTTGAAAATTTAAATTTACTTAAAAATTGCTTTAGTTTATATTAACGCATCGCCAAAATAAATAAAATAAAATATCGTTCTTAAATAATAAATATCCATATTAAATTCAATATTAATAATCTAAAAAATGTTGTATAATTAGTTTTGAGAAAAACTATTGTTATAATCGTAATATTTAATGTTACAAGTATAAGCACATTTTACGAACATAAGGTGTCTTCTAAAGCCTTAAGAAGCCTGTAGTTATTTGCGTAAACGTTATGCTATATCACAGCATTTGCTATATAAAAGCAAAGCAAATAAAATTTTGTGATGGTTGTGCACGTTAGCTTATTTATAAATCAGAGTAATTGTGGTCTGTCCAATAAAAAAAGAAAGTATTCTAATATATATTATGTAAAGGCTAATTCGGCCAAGCGGCGTGATTTGTCGTAAATTGATTTAAATACCTATTAACCGTGCGCAGAAAGTTTGCCGATGTCGTAATGACGTCACGTGTCGATGGTTAGTACGGATGACAGAAAAACATGTTTCTAAAATAGTGGTTGCAAATGCAACAAATCAATAAAGGAAAATGATTACAAAAAAACTAAGATTTATTAAGAGAGAACCTTTTGTTTTTCTACTTTCGAAAAAAACGTTAGAAAGTTTAAAATAATAACACATTCGCCACCGTGATAGGGCCGTTTTGATAAAAAAAAACAAGCAAAACGTAACATGAAACAATAAATAGTTTCGGAGCGAGAGCAATTATTTCAAAGACGTAGCACACGTGAGCACACTAATGTGTTGTTAACGGTACTAACTAGGCGACCGCAGGACGCGGTCGGCGGAGGCGGGAGGGGTAGTCATTGGTAAACTTTCAGGGCACGACTAATACAGCTACGACATGTACTGATATAACCACCTCATGCTTAAGTTAAATTGTAAGTAATTGTTTAGTTTAATCGAATTTCTTAGTGTACCATGCATGCCACTGGAGCCCTAGACGCCAAATTAGGTACTTACCTAACAAATAGAGTACGGCTACAATCGATAAAAATTTAAAATAGGTAATTTGCTAGATTGATGTAAATAGTCAAAAGTAATTTTATAAAGTTACGTAAGAATTTTTCAAATTACATCTCCCTTGCAACTTTGCATTAAACATAGAAAGTAATGGCTGTATTAAAGTTTACATTCTAAGTTTAAGTAATGTCGTGTGTAGAATGTTGTGGGCTAGGCTTCTAGCTTCTACGTCACTGTATGCTAGTTAAGTATAGAGTTCGGATATCTCATTGTAAAAATGTACAATACACGCTAATAGGTATTTTGAATTAATTATGAATGTTATATTAAGAGTCATCCTAAAGTGACAATTTTTCCTTTAATATTTTTATACAGCATTACAAATATTTATCGCAATTAAAAGTTTATAGAGGTGGGTCAGTGTGCAATTTAAAATAGTGTTTAAATTTGTATAATCGCCTTAACGAGAGAGAATATAGCTGAGTCCTTCTGCGTGTGTCTGCTCGAGGTTTAATGTTACAGTATTGTTTATGCAATGTGTATGTATTGTATGTATGTCACGACTTTATTGTTGTTGCTAGATGTACTTATTTGATTAACTGCCTCAAGAGGCTCATTCAAAGTTCAAGGTCCATCATACTAAACGAGACATCTGGGGACAAGCATTTTGGCTTATTTAACGTTGTCAAATTATAACATCATTTTATATCAATCACCTTATGTTTGTCTCTAAGAATATAAGATTGTCTGATTTCAGAAATATTTGAGTATCCATGACTTTGATTTATTCCTCA